TCAGTTTTACAGAATTTACAACAGAATGAATTTCTCAAAATTACAGATGTCCTGGAGTCTGTTCTTTTGATTCCTATCGTATCAATAATTTAAACTCTATGGTTTTGAATCACAATCTTCAGTATTTGGTTCAAATAGCCCATGAAAAATGAGGTGTGTCAGATGTGTCACTTACATCTTCAATCCACAGGTAAATATAAATGATCAGATTGGATGGAATATTAAAGCTTTTTGTGATCAATTATTGATCGCATAATGGAAAGGAAGCGACAACACAAAATTGGATATTACTGAAGGGACGAAACATATGTGAAATGTGTCAAGTATATCATGAGCCTTCCTAGCTCCGTCCACAAGCATGCAAAGAGAAAAACATTATACATAAATAAAAAATTACAGATTAAATTACAGGTGGCAAAAAAACATATTTTGGACATCCCTACTGAAAATATGTCTTGGATCTTTATGTCAACCCAATTGCACTCTTAAATTCTGTTGCACGATACAAATAGATCATTTAAGTGAAATGTCACTGAGCCCAAATACACATCTGCTCAATAAACCTCACTGTGTGAATGAATCACAGCTTTTTCACACATTCCAGCAAAAGAGAAATGGTGAAAAGGGTTAGGGATAGTGACAGGCACAGAAGGTCAGAGCCAACATGCCGCCCGACACTATATATTTTTTTTCCCCCTGTAAATTAAAGCTGGTGGCACCTGCAGCAGCTAAATAACAGTTGCATCAACGTCACAGCTCAATCCACAGATGGAGCGCTGCACCTTGGAGGCCAGTTAGCTAACAGCGCCCTGCAGAAACACCAGCTGAACCAACGCAGCTTCACAAGGATGGTTTCTGACCTACTTACATTTGTTGCATGTGTGTGTGTGTGTGTGTGTGTGTGTGTGTGCGTGTGTGTGTGTGTGCGTGTGTGTGTGTGTGCGTGTGTGTGTGTGTGCGTGTGTGTGTGTGTGCGTGTGTGTGTGTGTGTTTGTGTGTGTGGCAGAGGAGAGTGAGGAAAGGGGAGAAGACACTCAATTGCTTTTCACTCTGATATTATCTATAATTGGAGATTTTTCTGGAGTGATTTTTTTTCTCTCTCCCTCCCTCTGATTCTGACTCTGTGCCTAGCAACCTCTCTCTCATTGGTCAGGAGAGCAGAGAGAAAAATGGAACCTTCGGAGCAACGTTCTGTGATTGGTGGGTTAATATCAGTGTCAGCCAATCAGAGGAAAGCTAGGCTGGGGTCTCCTGAATCGCAAAGGCTGTAAGATCACAATGGTGGTTCTAGTTTGATTTTAAAAAACCTCATTTGTTTTAATCAACCGGCAAAGTTGTAATTCATTTTTGCCCACATTTAAATATCTGTCATGACCTATTAAACTTTATTCATTTATATGTTTTGCTTATGTTTTTATAAATGTTTTACACTTATCTTTCTTATATCTTTTTTGGACTTTTGTAGTGAATTACTGATTTGATGTCAATCCAAATTATGTGAAGTGCCAACATTTTACAAGCCTCAATAAATGAGAATGCATTACACAACGGAGCTGTATGACACAGAGGAGCAAGATATATCAGACAATACTTAGGATCAAATCGTTGTTGGTCTTGGGCTTTCCATGGGATTTGTTGACTATAAGAAAAATATAAGTGAGTATCACCAGATTTTAAATCTTAGCATCTCCGATCCTTGCATGACAAATATTGCTTTGAGGTTATTCAGGTTTCCTTTTAAAGCCCCGGCAACAAACTGATGCATCAAAGGCAGGAAATTCTTCTTCTCCTTAATCATCGTCCTCCTCGAGGGAGGAGGAGGAGGAGGAGGAGAAGCAGTTGTGCTGATTCTCTGCACTGACATCACTCAGCAGCCACCCCAGTCAGCATCAAACGGCGTGACCCTCTGAGCTGTGGTGTGTGATCACAGGAGATTTCAGACGGTTCGGCACAAAACAGAATCAACAGCATGGTGCTTTTCGGAGGGACAACGTGACGGGGGCGGGGGGTACGAGGAGCCTCGTACAGAAATGTACATGAAAGCACCCGGTCTGAACGGCACAGCATCAGGATATGCATTAGCTCTGTCTCATGGGACTTCCCCAGACCTCACACCTTCACTAACAAAGTGCCACAACCTGTGAAGCAAAAATGAACGTGTGCTTACGTTGCTCCTGAAACGAGGAGGTGGGCACAAGTGTAACATGAGCGCTCTGTCAGTTTGTTTTTTGTTTTTTTTTTGCCAATCTGAGAGATTTTGTTCGGAGTGTGCGCTGATGAGTGCATTTACTAAAAATAACATAACTATGACACTCTGGATTTTGGATTCTGCTGTCATCAATTTCAAAGCAAATTTATCCATAAATATAGATGGGAAATAAGCGCTGGCGGTCATATAACCTGCATTTAAACTCACTTATTTTCTGATGTTTTGTTCATTATTGAAAAATTTAAGAAAAACATATTATTCTCAACCAAATACAAAAATGGAGTTTAGAGTTGGGGTGCAGGTGTCTAATGCACAAAAAAAAAACAAAGATTTGCACCCAAATGTATTAAGACTTCTGTTTTAGTCAAATTAAGCACATTTTCTTCTTCTTCTGTTATTAATTTGTGATGTTCAGTGTATTTCCGGAACAATTTGGAGCATTTAGCTTCAAGATTGACTCTTTTTAACCAAGAGTACCAAGTGTTCAGTGATCAGTTTATTTCATTTATATGTGATTTTGAATGCATTTGCCATTTTTCCAGTGTCAGAAATAAATATATCGTTTTATATCCTGATATTGATCTGAACCATTTTGCCACTGTGGAACAGATCATTTTGTTCACTGAAAACAGCTTCAGTAGAACAGAAAGTAATCCAGCCATAATACAGATTGTGTTCTGAGACATGGGGATAACTGTAACCTTTCCTGTGTGTTATTACATTATACTCCTGTTGCTATCGCTCCCTCCGCCTACACAGCTGACTGCATCGCATTCACACCTCTGCTCTGGGAACGGTTAAAGACAACGGGGAAAAAGCGGATACACCAAAACTTTACAACATTTTTATAGCTCCGAAAATACACAGAACATCACAGATTAATAAGAAATAGAGGATATACGCAGGGATTTTTTTCTTTAAGCACAAACCCTAAACTTGCCCTTCGATTATTCCTACAGAGGTGACACTGAAAATGTATCTTCCCTCCCTCACATTGGTGCCTCAGGCTGCAGCGCAGTAAGCTGATCCAGTGGCGTCTCGTGTTGGACGGTCCAGGCAGTATTATAGACTGCAGTCATTCTGCACGGGTGACTTATTGACTGGATATCCCCATGAATCAGAGCAAGTCATTGATGCAGGTCTGACTCAGTCCTTGATTGTTGACTGTGTGTGAGTGTGTTCAGGAAGGGCAAAAGGGGGGAACTGACATTTTAAGCTACAATGACCACAGTTCCTGTCTGGACATATGAGACACCCACACAGGCTCTGGATTAAGGACAACAGGCACAAAAACACACACAGTGCTAGTCACTGGAACCACTGTTACTCCTACTGGAGTCAGTTGCATCAGCTGTTTGTTAAATTCAAACATAGTTATGATGTAAGCGTTCGCGAAGTGGAGCTGCATCATTCAAACTAGTGCACAGAGATTACTTCATGTCTTCTCAGCTCTCTAAAAGATAAGAAAATAACCCTGGTGACTCACTGTGGTCATTAGGGTTATCTCATGTTGGGCTCGGAGACTTCACATGGCGACAGTGGAGAGCCGATAGGAATGAGGGGAAAGTATAAAGCCGCCAAGAACCCAAAACACAAGTTAAATGACAAAGGCGCCTGTGAAGATTCACAAATCTTTGGTGATAATCACTCAAAATATTATTATGTAACAGTTACAGCAGAAAAATGTGAGAAATAAAAGCATAATACAGTGTTTTACATGTAAAGTGGTTTTGTTTTGTGCCTTTGTTACTGAAAGTCCATGTATGAAATATTAATTTGCAGTTTTAAAAATGTCTTTCAAATGCTCTACAAAACAAATTAGACGACGTGTGAAAGCAACACATCAACACTTTCTACTGGTTTTCTCAGCCTGTCTGCACATGATATGATATTATTAATAAAACATGCTCATTTTGCTCACTGATGACTCCAGAGGGTGAACTGACTCATCAGTTCACCTCTAGAGAGTAACATGTTTTTACTACTGACAGAGTCAAGGGCCAAAACCATAAAAATAAGCAATAAACAAGTTGTTTGAAATCCAACTTTCTGTTAAATATCAACATCATCAATAGATGTTACACATCAATGTGCATCAAGTTGTCAGATGTCATTCAGAAAAGTTATCTCCCTACTGGAAAGTTCAGTATTGGTCGAGCTACAACACACATACACACACACACACACACACACTCTCTCACACACACTGAGGTGTAATTAGACATGAAGCTCCCAGGGTTACTTTCCATAATGTCACTTAATAACAGATCATCAGATTATCACACATGATAATCCCATGGACCACATGTCCTTAATCTGACTTCTTCAATGGAGTATGTGTTCATGTGTGTGTGTGTGTGTGTGTGAGAGAGAGAGAGAGATGAAACATTGAGGGTCTGCTTTACAGAGGACGTGGGTCTGAGGTTGTGTGTTGAGGTGTGTTGTGCACAAGCTCGTACCTGTGACTCTTTAATCAAAGAGGCAGATATTTTCTAAAGGCAGTGGTTCATCTTTTGTACTGATGATTTAACTGGGAGAGTTTGATGCCGATCCAAGTCACATAACGTTGTCAGTGGAGAAATGAATGGGACTTTTACCTCTCACGTTTTGCAACTCTATTACCCAGGTATTTGTTTTCTCCTTTGTTACGTCTGTTTGATGTCCTACTCTCTGTGTACACACTGTTAAATGTTATTCTTTGTGTAGAATGGGCTGAGGAAGAAAGAAGGGAAGGAACAAAGAAAGAAAGACTGAAAACATGGTGTGAGTGGACTCAGGTTTAAGCTCTCACCTTGTACTTGGCGGTCAGCTGCTCGGTGGCTTCCTGCTCTTTCCTCAGATCCCCCATCATCCTCTCCTTCTCTCCCAGCAGCCTCTGCTTCTCCTCAGCCAACAGGAATCGATCTCCTCTGATGGCCTCCTTCTCCCTCTCCAACCGCTGCTCCTCCAGCTTCACGTAGTCCTCTGCCTCCTTCTCCACCTCCACCTCCGACTCCTCGCCCTCCGTCTCTTCATCCCCGTCTCTCTCCCAGCCCTCGCCCTCCACATGCTCCTTCTTCTGTTTGCTCCTCCACTTCCTGTGGTTGAGCTGGGCCCTGAGGCGAGCGATCTCCCTCTGGAACTCCCGCAGTAGAGCGTCCTTGGGGTCCTCGTTGACTTTTGGCTGGTTCTGGATGTTCTTGGCGCGGCTGGCGTAGCGGAGGGTGGTCAGGGTCTCATCGTAGTGCTGGGGAGCCGGGCCTAAGGTGGCGACCATGACTGTCTTTGCATTCCCGCCCAAAGAGTCCTGCAACAGCCGGGTCAGCTTGGAGTCCCGGTACGGCACGTGGCCGCTGCGTCCATCTGCTAGTGCTGAGATCACGTTGCCCAGTGCTGACAGGGAAAGGTTGATCTTGGCGGCTTCTTTCAGGCGCTCTCCCTGGACGCCGGTCTTGGCTTGGCGCTCGCTGCCGGCCAGATCCACCAGGTTGAGGCGTCCAACTCGGATGTGTTTCCTCCCATCTGGTCCAGGCTGACTGCACTCCACCGTGATCAAGAACAAAGCGTGGGACCTGGACGAGTGTTCATTCATGTCCGTCGCCCCAACTGCCCTCGCCTGGTTGCCCACGTTCATCACCTCCTCGATCTCCTTGATGCTCTTGCAAACACACGACGTCAGATCTCGGACATACACCCCGGTCTCTGGACTCTCTCTGAGCTCCAAGGCTCTGGCAGTGGCGTGGTTGGGATCCAGAAGATCCCGAATCTCCTCCCGATAGATCTCGAGGTAGGATGCCCGCACGAGGTACTGCTTATCCGACTGCGAGCGGGAGATGTGTGTGAAGATGTGGTCAAAAGCATTGGGAATCACACCCCGTTTCTCTGGGTCCATCCACGCGCCCTGCATGGTGTACGTCTTTCCGGTTCCGGTTTGCCCGTACGCAAATATGGTGCCATTGAACCCCGCGAGCACTGAGTCTATCAGAGGCCGCACGCTCTCGTCATACAGGTCTCGCTGTTTGGAGTTTGCATCATAAACTGCATCAAATGTGAATGTTTTTTGGGGCTCGCTGGCTGGTGCTCGAGGGTTTCTGAGGATCACCTGTCCAAGCCGCAGGTCCATCTGCACGATGCCCCCTGCAGGCCCATTGGACTCCTCTCTCCGGTTCAGAGGGCGGCATCGAACTACCACCTTCACTGACTCGCTGCTCTTGTTTTTTGACATGACTGTCCTGTGATTGTTTCAACAAAATTAATCTATGTCACTTTCATAAAAAAAAAAAAACAGGCTGGAAACCTTAATGAAGCCTTTAATCAGCCTGGATGTCCTCCTGTCTGCCTGGGACTTGTGTAACCATAGATATTTAAATCATTAATATCAAATTCGGTATGGCTTCTAGATCATTAATAAAGGGAAAAAGCTATCGTGCCTAATAACACAGACTCATATAGTTAGCAGCACAAATGATGAGATGCCACTGTTTCTAATGGCTAATTTCCTCTTCTTATTGTCTGTAATATTAGCCTGCGAACAGACAGACGGTCAGCAGCTCTTACGCGATGGATCGACGCTCCATTGCAGTCCCGCTTCACGTCCACATTCACTCGGTGAAAAAAATCCCACAAAGCCGGTGACAAAAACATTCAATTCAGATATCATACTCATGTCGTCTCTCGATTTCAAACGCCCGATAGATCCGCTGCAGACCCGCTGTCTGTCTGCATCTCCCCCGTCCTCCGCTCACAGATGCTCCGGAGTGGATTTGGTCTGTGCTCGGTCTGTGCGGAGAGACGGAGCTCTCCTCCTGTACGACACACACACACACACACACACACACACACACACACACACACACACACACACACACACACACACACACACACACACACACACACACAGTCATTCAACCACCACACCCCACATCACTGCGGAGTGGAACAAAGGACCATGGGAAATGGAGTTTTTACTACCCAAAGAGTTGATTTTGGTCCAAGGCTGCCACCAACTTCTGAAATGGACACAGTGACAACTTTAATTAAAACATTTGTGTCTGTTTGTCATTATAACGGTGGATGCTCCCATAATTAATACATTAATTTATCTATTTAATAGCCTATATAATTTAAATGCCTCATCATACAGTGCCCCTCTCTTCCTCTCACTGTAAATAGCTTCAGGTTTGGAAAAACTCTTCTTGCACAGTTCATGACATGATCAAATGCAGTAGGCTATATGTTGCATCACCTTGTTCAAGCTTGTTTTTATGGTTGCACCATTCAATTGAAATAAAATACTGAAGAAATCTTATGAATTCTTTTATAAATTTCAACCTGATGTATTTGATATCTTTGGAAAGTCTGGGTGTCTGGATAAGAATTTAAAATTAGTTCTGTGCTGAGCTTGATTCTGGTAATTAGGGATAATTCAGGTTTTCTCTCCTGTAGACAGCTTGTGTTGATAATAGATAATAAACATATTTTCAAAAACAGCTCTTTTTGAGGTGATTTTCTTTTTAATAACAAGAAGTTAATCAGGGTTTCAATTCCCTGATGTTTGTCTGGCAGGTATTTGAAAATGTTTCCTTTATTCTGTCTATTTAATTTAATTTAGTTTTTTCATGAGCATAAATCTTGTATTTGCCTGTTATTTCTTATTTATTAGTCTCATTTTCAGTTAGAATATGATTTGAGTGTGATATAAAACACTAACACATAATTTACATCACGTTGATAAGATGCTTTTGAATATATGTCCAAGATTTGGTTTCAATGTTGAAAACTCCCCACTAACAATGTTGAATCAATGCGGTTAAAGTGGTTCTATGGTTCCCTTGATTCCTATGTGCCATTGTTAATTGATATTAACACAATGACAGTCATTGAACTGCCACGGTTTTCTATATGGTGCACTTACAACAAGATAATTACTCCTCATTCCTACAGACCCAGACACTGCAAGCCACATTTAAAACAAATGAATGGTATTCCCCATAAAAATAAGTGAGATAATCAAGCTTCTAGAAGTGTGCTCCCAAAGTGACACAAATTGAGTTGTGGCCCAATACAAAATGAATGAGACTTATTTGACCATTACACTTGTTTAAATGTGACACAGCAGCACCACCTGGTGAAATAATTGTGGAACACACTCTGACCTGCAGCTGGTCAATGTCACCACAGGAGGCCAGGAGACTCAACAACTGCTTCCAGTTACCCTGTGTAATGTGGGAGGTGACATTGTGAGAAGGTGGTGGGTGATTCCCTATAAAACTACCAAAATTTCCATATCACCTCTGCCTGTTTTAAATAAGTGACATCTCAGGTTTTGTTTAGTGGTTACTGCTGACGTAGGCCTGAGTGACCACAAAGTGGAAGGCACAGACATGTGGGGAATTCAACACATCACATTATTTCTTTTATGTGGAAGAGCTGGTTGACACAAACAGTTTCATTACGCTTAATGTGTCATCTCACCCTGCCGTGTTTAGTCTGTCATTGTAGGCTTGTGCAGTGTTGGGTGAGATTTCATGGAGAAAATTACTCACGTGTACTGAAAACTCCCCCCAGCTCAAATGTTAGCAGCATCAGGGGAGACCACCATCACCATGATGTTACAGTGCAAGGTAAACTTTCTAAGTGAGTGTGTTGTGTCATGTGATTTGAAAACAGGATGCCAGGAAAATCCATCAATCAAACCAAAATGAATGATTGGTCTAAAATATAAAGCTAAACAGCTGATGAAAACATGCAATAGATGATCTAAAAAAGCAAGAGTAGCTATAATATATAGAACTTTTTTCAAAAAACCCTAGTTTGGGTAAATAACCCAAAAGGAATACATAAAATAACACTTACACTGGGTCAAAGTCATAGTCTGACTGGTGGCCCAATTTTTCTCTAGTGGGTCTCACATAAGGTTAGTCCTGAATTGTATAGTGCTCTAGTGACCCAATCACTGGGCAAACTGTTATTTTCATTATCAATTAATCAGCAGATTATTTTCTTGATTAATAAATGATTAGTTTAGTTTATAAAATGCCAGAAAATAGTAAGAGCCTGTTAATATTTTAAAGACTACATGTAATGTCATCAAATTTAATGCCATGACAGACCTAAACCTAAAGATATTTTGAGATGGAGAGTTCATGTAAAACTTGTAAATAGTGGTTGACAAAACAATCCACACAGTCTTCCTCATCTGGACAGAGTGGCCCAGCTTCCACGGGATTACAGATGTTTAAGGTAAAGTTTTTCAGAGCATTTTAAAGATTTGACATCCATCTTGTCTTGACTGAAAATTTTAGTTTTCATTTATTGTTTTATTTCTTTATTTAACAGGAACCGTACAAACTGAAGCTGATTTGCAGCCTCTGACCCTGGTTTGACTTTTAAAGGAGAAAATCCTCTCAGCAGAGAGGCTGGGATGTTTGGCGGTTTTGCTTGAAAAACTACTTAAACAACTAACTGACTGACTATTAACTGACTTCTTGTTTAAGCGCTAGAATAGAATAAAATGTGTTTTAACTGCTGAGGAAAGCAACAATTTTCCAAAGCTACACATAAGGTTGGGGCATCCTGGCGGCCTATAGTGATCAACATGCATACCATATACTGTTGCTCAGTTATTCCCCCCTCCCTCTCGCCCCTTACTTCCTGTCACCTCTGAACCATCCACTGTTGTTTAAAACAAAATATAATACCAAAATACCTCAAAAACCATAAGGTTGTGTGGTTTAGTATCTTCATGTATCTGTTAGACAGATACTTATTCCCTTAAATGTGCATAACTATCACTGCCAGAACAGTGTAGAAATTTGAGTGGTAGTTGCAAGCTGTTTGTGAGAGTGTGGGACGAACCCTGGGGCCCCATGCAGCAAAATTCAGGAATGCACACTGATCTTGGGAAGATTTCTGTGTGAAGACATGATTTATTAGGGTAACAAAGATTGTTTCACTGAGAAGGAGGAGGAGGAGGAGGAGGAGGGATACGATTAGAATATGGGCTAAAATAAAAAATAATAATTACACTGCACTTAGCCAATGGCACCTTAAAGTACTGCTTAAAGAAAATCTGTGAGCTCCATAAAACTATTGCCCTCTATCACCCTTTTAACCTCTGTACCATCTGTTTTAGGCTATGCATGGGCTGGTTTTGTGTCTGCATCTTTTTTCTCTTTTTTGTCATGCTGCTGGAAGAGCTGTACAAATGAAAATAATTGTTGGTTACAACCTTCAGTACTCCTGTGAGAATTTGATAAAATACAACAAATGATCACAATATAAAGCAAAAAATAATTTAGGTCTTAAAACTAGATTTTGACACAGAGATCCTTTACAAGACAATGCTAGAAGATGGGAGGATGGAGGACTGATATTGTATTTAGAGTGGTGGAAATTTCTAACATATTTGTGATTAATCTGATTATGTAGATCCAAATAATATGGAGTAAACCTGGGGCTGTTGGGGCCCCTGGAGGTCCACAGTCCTTGGACAGTTGCCTGCTTTGCCCAGTTGATAATCCAACCTGCACCATAAGGTCAAAATTGTAGTTTTTCCAATACTTTGGTTTATTGATGTAACAGTTGGTTTTCTTTACATTGAGCAATACAGCATAGAGCTGCCAGGGGCTGTTCATTCTTTCCTTTTCTCTGACTTCTTTCTCTCTCTCTTGTTCTTTATATCTTTCTTTCTTAGTTTGTGTCAAGTCTGTACTTGGCAGTAGAAAGCAGGGCATAGTCAGCATTCCTAAGGAGTGTCTAAGAGTTAAACTACTCTGACAGGCGGAAGAAGGAAAGAGTAACACACACACAAACACACACAACAGATACACACGAAGCCCAAAGCCAAGTCCACCACAGTAATAATGTGTACATGCATTTACTCTCTCGGTCATTAAAAGACTTTAGAGGATACATGTCCTTGCAGTTCTCAAAGCAGAGGATGTGGGAAACGCCCGTAACAAGCACAGAAGTACTTATATATGACATCACTTTGCCTGACTCACAGCTGGGATAGTCACCGCATCAAATGCCAGCTTGCCATGAAAAGCGAAACACACCCCGGTTATCAGAGATCCGCATGAAACTGGCCGCCATATTGGATCACTAGACACATTACTTACATTTATGTGAATGGAGATTTGAGCCTTAATGTCGGAGAAATGTACGCAGTAGCTTTTATCCTGCCTGTCAATCTAAGATACGCCTCTTACCGCTCGATGCTCGGGAACATGGCCAATCGCATTAAGGCACTTCCTGGACTGAAAGCAACATTGACCAATCAGAGCAGTGAAAGTTGACAGAAGGGGCGGAGTAAAGGGCGTGGTTGTGGGCCCAGGGTGTCGCCGTGGTGGCTCCCATTCGAAGGCGACGGCGGTCGTCTGTATTTCGGTCCTAATCTCTCCAGAGAAAAAGACAAAGTAACTCCGCACAGACAGCGAATTTGACACACTTTGACGTTGAGATTTTTCTTTCTAATTCCTCTCGGTCGAGCTTGTGGCGGAGCTCTGGAATGACGGGGTGTGCCGAGAATTTGAATTAGCTCTCCGTTAGTTTGAAGAAAGAGTGAGTCGGGGTAGCGAGAGAGAGAGCGAGAGAGAGAGAGAGAGAGAGAGAGAGAGAGAGAGTTTGTGTGTGAGAGAGAGAGAGAGAGGAGCCATTTTGTCCCGACTGTGTGGGAGAAAAGAAAGAGTGGAAAAGAGGAATCACACGGGAGGAGATCCTATTTTTGCTTTCTGTCCTCATGCTGTAAGGGGGGAAAACAGTCGGGCTCGGGAATTATAACTTCTCGGACAAGTCAACGGACACGTTATTTGGGTGGTATTTAGCCAACTAGCTCGCCAAGCTAATCAACAAATCCCAGATTGTTAACTGTTAACAGTCAAGAGGAGCGGGGCGGTTGGTCGGTTTGGCGAAGGAGCTGGCTTTAGACTTCACATAGGAAGTGACAGGTTATTCGTTTTTTTTGTACCTATCTGGGTGAACACAAGCTATTTTTCAATGGCGAAGAAGACGTACGACTTGCTGTTCAAGCTGCTTCTGATCGGAGACTCGGGCGTGGGGAAGACCTGTGTGCTGTTCCGCTTCTCTGACGACGCCTTCAACACAACCTTCATCTCCACCATAGGTAAGAAGACCAGGAGACACAGCCGCTGGTGTTTCTGATTTTGACTAGTTTGACAGCTGCGAGACTCGCCTGACGCTACCCTGCAGCTGGAAATGGTAGACAGGACATATTTGGTTAGCCAGTGTGCTATCAGCATGCATCGGCTGTCCAGGCCTGCACAGGTTAGCTGGGAAGCTAGTTATGCAGCTTTACGAGCTCTTGGCTGAACCCCAGTTACCCATTTTTTAAATGACTGTGACTTTAATAACAAACCACGAGTGTTATTTTTGTTTAGTTTGCCAGAAATGGCAAGTATAACCGGTTTAGGAACCAGAGGAATTGCTGTCATGTCAGTTGACCCAGTGGCTGGTAAGCTAACTAGGCTAGCAGCAGTACAGGGCCGTGCTGGGGTTATACCAGCACAAAAAACTGACATTTACATCCTAGTGTCAACCCAAATTACCATATGGATTTGTCCTTGTCATGTTATCTTGAAAGTAACAAATCTCTGGATCATGGAAAGAATGGAAATTAAAAACCCTTTATATGTACCTGTCTCTATATCAAATACCCCGAATTATATATGTATGTAAATTACCATATTTGCTATTGGATTATATCTGCTGCTAGATTCATGTGTACACAGCATCTTAATGTTGTAGCCTGTGGAGCTGTTATAACTACTTTAAATACTGTTGCTTAGTCTTACCTAGAACAATGGATTGTATCATTTTATAGAGGTAATGTTTTATAGAGCTGGAACAATCAGTTGATTCATCAATTAGTTGTTTGAAAGGAAATTAATCAGTAACTTAAAAAGCAATCTCTTCGTCATATGATAGTTCAAGAAATACCTGTGAGTTTTAAACTGTTGGACAGAGGAGTCAAGCAAATGTTTGATGTCACCTTGTGCTGTGACAAGTTCGACTCTGCGTTTTCCCTACTATTTATGTCTATTTCATAGACCAAATGGATGGTTGATTAATCCAGAAAATAATCATGATTTTGGACCTATTGTTTTTCGTATGCTAAGTCTGAATCTGTGATGTAACTATAGCTGTCAAATGATTGTAGTGGAGTAAACACTTCTCAAATGTAGTGGAGTAGATGTATAAAGTAACAGACCTGTGATTTATATGCTCAAGTACTCAAGTAAATGTACTTACTAACTTTCCATGTCTGTTCAGAGGAGAACCATAAACAATTCATCATGGTGCCATGATCAGCTTTTTTTCTCTCTTGTCTTCTACGCATGCGTTCAGCATCATGCTCACATGAGTCAAGTGTCAAGCTATGTCAAATCCCTGCATGGCCCAAGTGAAGGCTCATTTTACTCTGGTTGCTTAAGATCAGTGCTGAGTAATAGTGTAACATTAGATGTGTTTTGCTGAACCACATGAAGCTGACTGTTTGCAGTACACTGGCATTATAACCTTGATCTTTGATTGAGCTTTACTTTCAAGCCCAGTTTTAATGAAACCCAAGTGTTGACGACTACTCCTGACTGTATGCCTAAGAACACACAACCATAATGGGTAACAGTGTTCCCAGTGGCATCCAGGCTAGATTAGATTTGTTGAGGTACAGCCATAAACTGTCGCTCTGTTCGAAAGCTTGCTGTCACATGTAGGTATTTATGTATTTGTTCATATGTTTGTCAATGTTTAGGCTTAGCTTTGTCTTGCAATCAGCCTAGCATTTGTGTAATATTACACTCACTCTTGTTTCTCAGAATGCAGTCATAATCAGTGCTGCCAAATTAGGAACAAAATCATGGCGATTAAGTGCATTATTTGAGTTAAAGCCACCATATCAGAGCTCTGCCAGTTCAGAGGAACGATGTGAGATGTTGGTGAGATGCGGGGGAGCAGACTGACAGGTTCTTCAGCAAAACTGAAGTGACCTTTGCTCCTCACAGGAGTGCGTTCTCTGCCATGTTGGGTAGTATGTCAAATATTTCAATGCCTGTATGCATTTGCAATTGCAGGTGGTATTTTGCCTCACTTGAGGAAAAACCCAATTCAACAGCACATTATGTTTTTACCCTAAAGCAAAATTTTAAATGAAGCTCCAAAAGCACCTGTTTGCCTCAACTTAAATGTTGTGGTTTATAGGCTGTTAAATGATTACCTTTGTCAGAGTGTCGCTCACACTGTCCTAGTGGATGTCACTACCATAAACATCATCAGTTTTTTCTAATTTATCCAAAAACTCAGGTAATTTTTAGGTTAGTTAGCAAAACATTTAGGACCAGAAAACAAGGATTATAGTGCTTGAACTGAAACTGTCCACAACAGTCAATGCTTTCATGTAATTTTAGGAAGTGTTCACTTGCAGTGGTCATACCTTAATTTGTCAAAAAAAAGTAGCAAGATCTGTGGCACTAAAGAGATACAGACATTAGGAATTGCAAACCCACATAATTCCCCTCATGTCATTATGTTCTGTAAAAGCTTTCATTGGTTGCCTTCAAGAGCCATTCTGTTACAAACTACAACACAGTTGTCATCCAGTCTCAAGCTCCTATGTTGTCGTGGCTTCGTTCTACATTTGTATGCAAAACAGAGCAGCATGCGGTGTGTTAAGAATATGCAGGAAATAATCCAGCTCAAACCATGTAATCCAGACTTGCAGTTTCCTTTATTGTTATCAAGGCAAGTATGTGGAATTATTTTGAAATTGATTGTTAGATATTAGCTGACATACTCCCTCCCGGGAAAGTAAAGAGCTGTTGGTTTTACTTCTGAACAAGCCAGAGCCTCTTCAGAAGTGTGTACTGCCATGTGGTAACTTATTCCTGAGTCAGTGATTTTATATGATTAGTGGGTTCATCTCTGGTTTCTGTTATTTTGCTGAAGACTGTAGTTGCCTATGATTAGTGAATGCCACAAACTAGTATATAAAAATGATCAAAGCACTGTAAAGGATTCAGGTTAAATTGATAGGGCAGTGTCACAGATTTTATTTATTTTACAACGTAAGTCCCTTTGAGGTTGGAAACTTCTTTTGCAAAAGGGATTCGGCCAAAACAGCGCCATGAAAAGTTGCAGGCAAAACGGTACAAAAGCAGAAAACTGTACTGAGAAGATTTAAATAAGCTAACAGTAGAAACAATTAGCAAGGGAATTTCTGCTGTTTATTTCTCCTCTCTATTTGTACATTATGGACAGACAGCAGATATGTCTTGGGAGAATGATTGCAAGATATGACAAGACTTGGCCCTTCATATAAACCAGGTTCAGACCTTGAGACGTATTTAAATCAGGAAATCTGAAATACTGAATTTGGAATCTGTGAGTACGCGAGTCGACGCACCAATCCAATATCATGTGATGTATTGATAGATTTCATAGTTTAAAACAGCAGTTTTCCTGGAATGGATTGCTCTTTGCCATTTTAAAACAGTAGCCAAAACAGTAATTTGTGCTGTGCAGCCACTGGCAACTACTGTTAGAGTGGAAAAGAAGAATTGATTTCTGGTAAATAAGTTAGCAGCAATGTAGGTGCACTGCAGTCTGGGTCCTGACCCAGATGCTGTCCTATCCAGACCTATAACCTATAAAATATTGAGAATTATTACATTTTGGTGGAGTGTTTCTGTTTTAACTGGTGCAGCTTTTCTAGCCTTTACGGCACTGGTCCCGTGATGCTACTCAGCCAATCATAGTGACTCGAGTCAGTGAGTGAGATAGACACGAGATTCAGTCGGAGAAATGTTTAACAGCATTTGACAGCACAAAGTAGTTGGCTACAGTAGTTTGAAATTCTTTTTCCACCTGTTGTCAAGTATGAAAAGACCCAAAATGAACACCATATGCACACTATTTGATTACTATAATAAAAAAAAAATTATCGGAATGATTCTGTCCTAGGCTTTTTGATCAATATAAGTGTTTTCCACTGTAAAAGCTTAAACCTGACCTATGCCATCCAACAATGACAGCAATCATATCACATCCATACAGTGTTAAAAGTATACAGCTGTTTTTTTATTTTTATGGATTGGCATCGGGTCAGTATTGGTATTGGCTGATACACTAGTTTAGGTAATCGGAATTGGTATTGTTGAGGGAAAAATGCGATCGGAGCATCTCTAAAAGGAAATGAACTTTGGGAAGAAACAGCAGAGCCAGGACGTGAAACGGGAGTGTGTTCTTCCTCTGACACAGTACTCATACCTTTGGAGACACAGATGCACAGCTGCTTCTCAAAATACCCCCACTGGAAAACCCCCCTTCTCTCCTCTGTGTCTCAACTTCATTTCCAATCCTCTGCTCTGACTGTCCCTCTCTCTGCACTTCCCTCCTGTTGTGTATTAGAGGTTATGCATATTAAGAGTGCTGAATATGCATAATGTTGCAACCTGAAATCTCTTTCCACAACACATCATGAATTTTACATGGAAACTGGCGAATAGATTCAGTGGAATTTGTACTTATGGAAGGAATGGCTCCTGTGGGATTAAAAAGAAAGCCGGTCATAAACCATGGACTTTCTGTTTAATACTTCCAGTTCGGCATTGGACCCTTGAGGGGTATGCCCACTTTTCCAGTGATTGGGTCAATGTCGTGAGATTGCACAATGCCCAGATTTACTTGAAAGCTTGTCAGTGCACCTCACCAGGAAAAAAAGTGTCACTCACTGTGTTTTTACTCCTCGCTAGGAAACACACTAACATGAACCCTGCTAAGCCTGGTTTTTAAGTGCTTAACTTTTTTAGTGTTATCACAAGTTTTAATGTCTATATTTCCTGTTTTATGTTTTTGATATACATCTCAGTGAAGGTAAATTTAGCTTTTTTTTTCATTTTGCAAATCTTCTATATCTCCCCCTCCACCCCCCACCCCTGTTGTCTCTTTTTCTTTCTGTCCAACTGTATCTTTGTTTCCCTCCCTCTCTCTGGGGTGTGAATAATATTTAGTTAGTCATACTTTGGCAGCCAGCTCCTTCATTATTCTATGGCCCTGCCCCACCTAGAGCACAGCTGTTTCTTGGTCTTTTTAACTAGCCACAATTTCTGACCAGAGCACAACTGACAGCTCAGTATTTAACAAGGAGACACTGCTTTTTGGCCAAAAGTAAAAACGGTGATGAATCACTGCTTCCTCCGGCCTTTCCAGTTATGACAAAGATGATAATTCTGTTTATTTTACCAAATATTGTGAACCACGATAATTCAGAGTTGAAAAAATCAGTCAGGAAAATTAATGGACAACATTTGATTATTGTGATTAAATTTATACCTTTTTGGGTTAAAGGCAATTTTGAAAATGTCACCTCTGAACTTATGGAACGTACGGGCATTATTCACTGTTTGTAACATTTTATTCACCAAAAGATTACTCTCTTATTCAAAGAGACCATCTGCAGCTTCAACATAATTTTTAGTTGCTGCCCTGTGCTGCAGCTAACAGCTGTTGTGAGTCACACTGTCTCAGTCTTCATAATGTTTCTTAGTGTTTTAAGGCTGCAGCTGACAATTTTAAAATTGATTAATTTTTTGAAAGAAAGTAAAAAAGAAAAAACCCATCTGAAGTTTCCAGATGAAGCCTTCAGATGTCTTGTCTTGTCCTACAATAATTCAATAACCTAAAGATATTCAATTTAAAACAGAGAAAAGCAGAAAATCTTCCCATTTGAGAAGCTGGAACCAGCAAAGGTTTTACGTTTTTCCTGTCAATGAATCGATTAATTGACCAGATTCAGTCCTAAGATGCTTTACGGTTAGAGTCAAGATATCCACCTGAGTAGATCTTGTAGATTCAGTGATCCATAGTTTGAATCACTTGCCTGTTGTAGCACTTGAAAAATGCAGATATGAAGGTGTAGCAGTTAAAAAGCACAGATGTAAAATGAAATATAAAGACAGTAGGCCAAGAAAAACTTAAAGGTAATAAACCTCCTGGATGAAAGATCAGTACATGTAGTGCAGTGTCTTTGTATCCAAAATAATTAAATCCAAAGTCCAATGAATACGGAAAGTGAAAAATAATCCTCCATAAGTTTCCACTGCTGAACAGTTGGTTTTTTGTAAAATTCAAAGGTATTCACACGCAAGAAAAATAGTGTGCTCTCCCACCACAGTGTAAACTCTTTAAGGCTTCAACATCAGATATCACTAATATATTTTAATTATACTATCAAGTTTCTAACCAGCTGCGTCTAAGCTCAGGTTTTTACAGTAATGACGTACGCATGTGCGCGTGCATGCTCATTGTTAGCCAGCTGCTGATCCCACAGCTGTCTGCTGATAGGCTCAAGGTCTGGGCATGACAGTGCAGAATCAGGAAGAGATAATGTTATTGTCTCCCTGATGGAAACAATTGTCACTCACTTTCCATTTCCCTCTCCTGCTAGCTGTCTTTCTTTGGTTGTTTCTCATTCTCTATTGTTGTTCTCAATTTTTCACTGTCACTGGGTTTCTGTTTCTCCCTACATCTGTGCTAAAGTCTCTGTTTGTAGGCCTCTATTTACCCATTCATCTATTTCTCATTGTTGGTGCTTCACATGCGTCTAGTACATGCCTCTTTTTTGATAGATTTTGTGTATGCTGATCTGTTTTTTTTTCTTTTTCTTTTTCTTTTCACAGGAATAGACTTCAAGATCAAAACTGTTGAATTGCAAGGAAAGAAGATCAAACTACAGATCTGGTGAGTCAGCGTGTTGTTATGTGATGTGTTGTTTTTGTCAAGGCCCTGTATGTATTTGTAACCAAGCCAAAGTGGGCAGATACTTCTAACTTCTAACTTTGGTAAAAAAAATTAAAAAAAAAACGTCATCTTTCAGTGTGGCCTCTTCTGTTTGTGCCTTGTTACATCATAGTGAAACATCTGTTCGACATTCCTCCCTCAAGCCCAGAAATATGTCAGAACAGGAAATGGTCATCAGTCTGTCAGGAGGTCTGCTGCAGGGTTATCGTTTTACCCCACAACAGCTGATTTTCCCCAACCGAAATGACTTGATTTTAACACTTTCTTTAACGAAACCTAAATTACCAAAATTTTATCACATTAATATTAAACTTAGGTTAACAGAGATTTGATATTATTATATGTATATGGCTGCAACAGTTCTCATTATCTTTTAGAGCTCCAACAATTAGTATTTTGATGATTGAACAATTCTGAATATTTGCTGCCTCCAGCTTCTGAAATGTGAGGATTTGATGCATTTCTTTGTTGTACATGATAATAACTGAATACTTTTAGGTTACAGATTGCTGGTCAAACAAACAGCGCACTGGAGGTATTACATTGGGGCTGTTGGAAATTGTAACAGCCACATTTCATTTTTTGTGAACCAAGTCGTGAATGAGCTCCCATGCTTTGTTTGAGTGGTGGTTTTACAGTTGATTCAATCTGCAGCGTGTGAGTAAAAACACTGAGTGAAATTCAAACATTCATAAAACCATTGTTGGCCAAATGTTACAAGGTTGCTTTACAAAACTGTAATTGATATAGTGGCATTTTTATGACAAGCAACAGAGAGAAGTCTATTCATCCAAGGATCGTCATAGTCATTCAGTGTTATCTAGATGACTGAGACACCTTCACATCCACACCCACTGTTGTGTGAGAACGTGCACACAAACGGAAAAAAAAAACCACATTATAGTGAAAGACCTGCTGACGTTTAATACAGTGCTTGGAGAATCTCTAAGGTATGGGTGTATGTATAGCTGACACCATTAGTTGATTATTTAATAACCCATTGAGAGAAAATGAATTGGCATGATTTCGATTATGATGATAAATTAATATTTAAAGCTTAAATACCCAAAAAATGAACCACTTTTAACTTCTCAAATGTGATTGTAGGCTGATTTTCTCAGCCCTCTATCATAGTAAATTAAATATCTGTGGGTCACAGACTATTAGCCACACAAATTACGATGGGCACTTTTCACAGTTTTTGGACAAACCAATAATTAATAAAAGAAAAAAAAAAGGACAGATCTAAAGTGAAAGGTTGAAGACACATGAACTTCTTTTCTTGTATGTTTACCTTTCTCTAGCACCAAAAACAGAGAGAGGACTTATTAGAAATGTGGTAAATGCATGTTGCTGCTGTTGTTGTGTGGTTGTCAAATATGAGCTCCTGTTTACTGTCCTACTGGTCTTTTGACAATAAGTATGAAACAGTACAGGGACTCAAGGGTCTGTATTCTGCAAGTTTATTGTGTTATATTGAAGGCTCTTCTCTGAATATCTCTGCAGCCTTTGTGAGTTGTGCATATATAAAACTCTATAGATGATGTGCATAACAAAATGTAAATACTGCAATAAAAGCATTTCCAAGTGCACTTGAAACTCATAATATATGCTCTGCATCCATTCATGATTTTGATACGATCTGAAATTTGATAACATTTGGCCTGATACTGTCCATTAGGCTTCCTCTGTGGCTGTGTGCATTTCTCTCTCTGTCCATATCACATTTTCTCCTCTTCCTGTCCGAGCACATTATGTCTGGATTTAATCTTCATGTATTGCCTCACCGCCTGAGGACGTGGTCATGCTCATCAGATCGCAGTTTGAGTCGAATCGTACTTTTAGCCAGCCTCTCAGAGATTGTGGTGAAGCGACCTTTTATAAGTGTAGGTTTGAGTTGCTCATGTGAGGCTGGTGCTCCTGGGCTTCTTCTCTTTTCCTGTATCAGCAGTATTAGATGGATGTTGGCAGGGATTCCCCACACAGGAAAACATCGTAGTTGAGGTGTACGCCAGTGCAGACGTGCGAGGGACATGGTTTTTGCCTGAGGTGGATTTTAATGTGTTTGTACCAGGTTCAACTTTACTTCAATGGCTCAGCAGGTTTCTCAGATGGAGTACAAGTGTTTAAAATAACAAGTGTCCCTCTGGGCCTCAAAACAGCAATATTATAACTTTTATCGGCCTTTATTGGTGACCAGCATTGACAGTAGAGCTGAAATGATGAGTCGATTAAATGATTAGTTGTCAATAATCAATTCATTGTATCAGTATCATTGTATCAGTCAATTTTCAAGCAGATATTGCGAAACAGAATTCAGCCTCTAAATGAGAAGATTTGCTGCTTGTATTATTATAAACTGAATGTTTTGAGGGCATTTGTACTCTTGGTCCAAAACTATATACTTGAAGACATCATCTTGATCTTGGCAAAGTTGCGACACACTTTTAAATTGATTAATCAAGGAATTCATATTCATATTAATCGATGATGAAAATAATAATAATTGATATATCAGGTACACCTTATGACAGCCCGTAAATAATGACATTACATTTTCCCAGTTAAGAGGAGTAAACAAAGTAAAGATCTAATAAAATGATGTAAAGCTCATGTATCTTTATGCTCCGTCTTATTTTCTCTTAACAAAACATATTAAGGTTTGTAGCTGATTTGGATCAATATCAACATCTATGAGGTAATCCTTGGCTCTGATCAGACCCTGCATTTATTTTATGGGCAATTTGAGCTGCGGTGCGTTGAAGATCTTAGTTACTGAGCCATTTATTGTTTGGGTTGAAGGCTGGAGTTAATACAAGAAAACAATGGATACCAAATGTCTATTTCTTGTGTGTGTGTGTGTGTTTAGGGACACAGCGGGCCAGGAGCGGTTCCACACCATCACCACCTCCTACTACAGAGGAGCCATGGGCATCATGCTGGTCTACGACATCACCAACGCCAAGAGCTTCGAAAACATCAGCAAATGGCTGCGCAACATTGATGAGGTAAAAACAAAAACACACACACACACACACACACACACCAGGCTCAGTTCACATATCTTCATGTGGGTCTGTGATGCTTGTCCAAGATCTTAACAGGATTTGATGAGGCTTTTGAGAGAGTTAAGCGTTGGCACTCCTTTTGCATCTTTTGTTTTTATCTTTGGCATAATGACAAAGTGACAAATACTTCCAAGGGAATGCAGCCAACATGGCTAACTAGCTAGCTGATCTGCGTGCGGTGAGCTGTGCAGCACGTCTGTGACTAAATCACATCAGATGAACCAGATGTCCACATGCACCTGACTCATTGTGACGTTGTACTGTTAGTACCGTTTTACCTCTTGAACATCAGTACAACACTCACAACATTATGTAAACAATCGTAGTTATATAGAAGCTTCATACTGTTAATTAGGAAGATTTATATCTACTAATACTGTAACACAATACCTCTATTAGATCCTTTAAAAGTTTGTGCATTGTGGGTCGCTGAGAAAGGATTTAACAGGATCTGTGAGGACCACCGTTTGCATTTGCATTTTGTCATAATGGATTTAAGGCCTTTTAAGGGAAAAATGTTGTGTAGACTATTGTACGTATCATTTGGTGACATCAGCCTCCAACAGGCCTGATATTTCAGAACCCAATCAGGGCGATTATCAGAGAAGACAAGCTGTCTGTAACATATGGTCAGTTTGTCCTGCTGCTGAGCTCACCCCTGTGAGAGGCCGATGCGTCTCTGTGGGTAATGAGGCCTCTGGTTTACACTCCATTTCTCTGTTGCTTCTCTGTGTTGGTGTTTCTTTCCCTCGCACCCCCCTTTGTGTTTAAAGCTGTTATCTTATTCCCTATCTAATTTAACTTGTTATTCTTCCTCTTATGTAAGTTATCTTCTGGGATCCTTTCCAGATCAAACATACCAGATTAATTACTGTCACGGTTATCATCAATAGCCCCTATTATCTATCTTTATTATTCCTGGGAATACAGAATACTTTAGTGTTACAACACATGATCAGTGTGAAGGTGTTACCTATTGAGTGAAGCGGATGGGGAGAGACTGCATTTGTGTGGAATGCTTTCTTGTAATTTTTCTCACCCTCGCTGTTAAAAGAGCTTTGAGTCCGGTCGAGGAAAAGGAAACACTTTGCGTTTCCTGCGAACGAAGAACTCGACCTTGCTCATATTGTACCTCTGTGTGTGTGAAGGCTTGTTGTCGACCCTAGAGAATAGGACGCAGGGATTTCTGCTACTTGGAAAGTACAATACAGTTCTAAATCAGTGGTTCCCAACCTTCATTTTGGCTTGTAACCCCTTAAAAACAAAATGATATCTACTTGTGACCTATAATTCAAGTTTGTATATCTCTGAGTTGTAACACTTTCAAGCAAAAGTGTTTAAATTTGAATCATTTAAATTGCTTTCCTGGTTCCTGCTTCTCAAATGTGAAAATTTGATGCTGCTCTTTCACATACACGATACTAAACTGAGAATCTTCTGTTTTGGATTGTTGGTCGGACAAAACAAGACATTTGAAGATGTCACCTTCAACTGTGGGAAAAGGAATTTGTATTAATCAGAACATTTTAACAGTTTTTACAAGCCCAGAGAGGTAGACTTATTAGAGCTGAAACAATAGTTTTGATTGTGGCAGAAAGTTAATCAATTCATTCATTCATCCTTCATTCATCCTGACAATCAGTTACAGAGTGATCAGTCCCCGCAGTTGGGAACCACTGGTCTCGATCAATATGTGGGAAGCAGAGTTGTTGTACCAGACCTACTGACAGGTGCAATCATTTCTAGATGCACAGAATGAAAGTGAAAGAAGATGAAATGTCAATACATAACCTTTTCATTACCTGTTTGAGTGGGATTGATTGATTGACTCATGGGATCTAGTCAAAATGTGAATGAGTCAAAACAAACCAGTGCCAGTTCCAGTAGGTGTGGGTGAAATCAGCGATGAAGGTAACGTTTATTGTTGCCGATGTGAAGAAGTAACCTCTTTCTTCTTTATCTTTTTCAGCATGCAAATGAGGACGTTGAGAGGATGCTGCTAGGCAACAAGTGTGACATGGAGGACAAGAGGGTTGTACCAAAAGCCAAGGGGGAGCAGGTGAGATGGTGCAGTCCCATGCAGCAGCTATAAGCAGCCCTCTGTCACCAAGGTCCTACGTGCTGATTGGCTCATTTGTTGCTGCTGCTTTGAAGCTACATGATCAATTTATAGCCCTGAATATAGAAAAACCTTTGTTCATTAACTCTCCTGCACTTAATCATATTTCACTCACTTCTTTACACTGAAATATTGCTGCAGCTAGTGTTAGTAGTAGTAGTTCTGACCTAAAGGAGGATTTTATTTTCAGGACACAAACTTTATACACAAAGGCATAATTCAAACATTCTGTGTTGGTTAAACTGATAATAAATAGACTGTATATTCTGTATGAACTGGGTCGACCTGTGCAGCAACAGCTGGAAAAGACCAACAAAACCACTGCACTGCTTTCATATCTGCTTACACAGCAAACATGTCCGTATCACCGAACAGATATCGTTTATAAAAAGAAAAAAAAGGAAATCATGTCAACAGCATTGCTCACTGCTGTCTTCAAAGTAGCTCTGATGAAATGACATCTGCACTGTTGGAAATATCAAGACCACAGTTCATGTTGTTGCTGAGTGTAGTCTGTGACCACCAGTTCAATCTGCTGGGAATTCAGCGGACTGTGAACAGTGAAATGTGAGGAATGAAGTCTCATGACACAGTGTCATATTTTGACACCAGAAAACTACTTAGAGCCAAGCCTCGATGTACTGTACACAAGAGCCTTGATGGCCGGTCCGATTGGGGCCTTTTAACAAATTCAAAATGACAAAGACTTCAATCACACAGAGTACAGGTGACTAGCTGAAGGTTGAAGATGTGAATTTAACCAAAAATGCAACATACTGAAGTCAATCGTTGACAGGTTGATCTTGGACTTCATGAAACCACAACATTTCCGTGTCACTGAGGATATAGAATTAGTTTTTTTATGAGCTATCTCATATATATCTCATATATATACATATATACATATCTCACACATCAGTGCTGTCGGTGCTTCAAAGTAGATCTCTCCCCACATCTCATAAAGTATCTGATATTGTCTGTTTGCATCCATCATGTTATTTACTACCCACTTGTGGCGGCAGTAGGCAGCAGTCTTATCTATAGTTTGTAATTTTCGTGGGTCTGACTGCGTCCTGTTGGCAAAGGCTGAAGCTTGTCAAGCAAAGAGGGGAGCAGCATTTTTTGGACGATTGCACATTGAGGATAATCCTGGGATCTTTAATGGGTGACTAGCTATAGCCAAAGTGTATGGAAACTAAACTTGCACATCAGAAAAATACTTCAACAGTCTTTACTTAAGAGTTAAGAGGCAGCAGTAATAAGTAAAGGAGCAAATTACACTGTGATTTATCATCTGTGTGCAAGATCTGCTGTAACTAAGTAAGTAGAACAGCTCCTTTTAAGGAATAGCTCCGTACATACACGATACAGGATTCTGCACTGTCACTGGAGTGGCATTGCCAGTTAGTAGTTAATATTTTGTAGATTACCATAGAAGTGATTTTTAGATCTCTTTCCTCTCTAGCGCTCATTTGGTATGTTAACTGTCAGCTCAGAAGAATAATCCTAATACTTCTTCAGCAAAGAGTGTAGAAAGATGGAGAGGTCCGGTCAGAGTGCAGCAAGATTCAGGAGAGAGACAGGCAGCACAAAATCATGAGACAGGACAGGCCCCGAATCTAAGAGATTTGTTTCTGCTACTGTCATGGAAAAGTATGTTTTAGTCTGGTTCATATTTTTCTCAAAAACAGAAGATAACTATGCAAATACTGTTCATTTCACAAGTTTTAACAGCTGAAAACATGGTTCAAAGTTTTTCTAAGTTGCATAAAGAGCTGAGATGCCACAAAATCCTGCTCGTATGTACACGTGTTAAACTAAATGCTTGTTGACATTGATTTCGGGATGTCTAGGAAGAAAGTTGACAGTTGTGAGAGAAATGTGGTAAAATCCTTCGGTCTCCGATCCAAAATGGTGGTTCTGGATCTCGCGGTGAGATGTCTGAATTTTGCCAAAGGTCGTTTTCGGTCTCAAATAAGCCAAATGCCAGACATGTAAGATTAAATTCTCACTGTGTGACAGCTGCTACGGCTCACATTTATCCAATCAGAATACAACATGAAATGAAACAGAATACAGTTTTGTACGTGCTGTTTATGTTTATGAAAACCAGAACCCATAAACTTCCCTTGCCAAGACTGGGTCCACGCTCTCCTTCTCTTCCTCTTGGGCACATCTTGTTTATTGTTTCACTGCATTTTAAAAACATAAATGCTGATGACACACCTCTGCTTTTTTTTCCTATTTACATTGTAGTGCTACAATTTATGGCACAATGTGACATGCTTGAGGCACATTGATACCACAGAGTGTAATAGCAGACGTTTGCAAATGTTCCCTTGCAGAGGATTGACTGTGGTGATGTCACCTACTGTACATGTCCTCTGTTAGCATATAGAGTTTGGTCACCTGATGTAATCTCAGGTGTAGCACCGCCCAGTTCCAGAGATCTGCTCAGCTGGAACAAGTGAAAACACGTGTGTGTGTGTGTGTGTGTGTGTGTGTGTGTGTGTGTGTGTGTGTGTGTGTGTGTGTGTGTGTGTGTGTGTGTATAGCTCTGTTTCAAAGCAGACTAGCAGTGACTAGTCGGTCTGCGGATTTAGCAATACCAGATACAGATCTGCTTACTCATACACACACCTACTGTGTGTTTGAGTTGGTGCTAATGCCAGTGATACCTGATCTCTGTTCTACACAGGAGATCAGGCGCTTTATTTTTGGACGGGACCTTCTTCAACTGTTTCCACACTTGTCGTTCTAACTCTCCCTCCTTTCTTCTCCACAGATTGCGAGGGAGCACGGCATTAGGTTTTTTGAGACGAGCGCTAAGGCCAACATCAACATCGAGAAGGCTTTCCTCACGTTAGCAGAAGACATCCTCAGAAAGGTGCGTGCACTGTGCGACTGTGTGTTGAGTTATAATTTTATGACATGAGTATACACGGTCTACATAAGTACTTTTATTAGATGGAGTGATACTGTATCTGTATCTATTTATCAGGCTAAAGTAATCCTGTTAATTCTCATCCAAACATATTCGCATGAAAATAAATATCTTACTGCAATAACACGCCCAGTCCTAGCCAAGGTTAAAGGGATAAATGATGGTGGCAAGATGACATAAACTCTGAGACACTGTCTGCAATCAGAGATGTTTTTTTCTGTTCTGTTAACACCATGGTAATCAGGGCTATAAGTAATGATCTTTTTTTTTTTTATTACTGATTAATCTTCTTAGTTTCTCCATGAATAAAAAGTCACAAAATTGCAAATAATGCTCATCACCTGCATATGTGAGAAGCAGGACTCTGTGTTTATTTTTAATCAAACAATAATATAAATTGCTGTTATAATTAATCTTATTTAACATGTGTCCCTTTGTGTTTTTGTCAGACGCCTGTAAAAGAGCCCAACAGTGAAAACGTCGACATCAGCAGTGGAGGCGGAGTCACAGGCTGGAAGAGCAAGTGCTGCAGTTGAACAACTCCTCTGTTTCACTCACACTAACGCACACAATCACACACACACACACACACACACACACACACACACACACACTCACATACATACACACAGACATACATACACACACACACACACACACATACACACACAGACGTACACACAAACACACATATTCTCTCTCTCTCTAACTGCTAACTCTAACTCTCTCGCCCTCTAACCTGTCTCATGAGTTTTTCTTGCACACTGACACTCTGTCTGTCTCTTTATCAGAATAAAACAATAAACCACTTCACTCGTTTAATCCCCCCCTCCCTTCCTCTTCCTCCACCCTCCACCCCCCCTCCACCGCACCATATTCTTCATCTAATGATCATTTTTATTTCTGATAAAAAGAGAAATCCAGTCACATTTCTTGTCATTTGTTTTAAAGGTTGTAAAAAAAAAAAAAGAAAGAAAGAGAAAGAAAGAAAGAAAGAAAAAGAAAAAAAGTGTTTAAAGACAAGCTCATATTTTTAATATTTCCTTTGCCTGAGCGCACCTGGTTGGACACCCTCACCTTTCCACCCCCACCCCCCCACCCGCAGCACTCACCTTCAGTCAGAGGAAATAAAAATAAAATCAAAAAAAGACAAATGTAGGATTAACATTTTGTACATTTAGTGAGGTTTCTGTTGTCTAACCGTATTCGGTCATTTACAATTTGTTACCAAGTGACAGAGGCGTGGCCAGCTCCTTTTGTATGTGGGGGTTTATTTTGTCCTGTGCCTTATATGGAAGATGGGGGCGGGGCTGTGTGGTGGGCGGAGCCACATCCACCCAATGAAATTACAGTTTAATATTCTGTTGGTTCCGGCTGTCGTCATGGAGACACCGAACCGAAGCAGAAACGTTTGAATTTCTCCTCCAGCCAAGAGAACGGCATTATACAGTATGTCCTGTTTATTGATGTTTTATTTTTGTCTGTATGATTTATTTTACTTTTTTTTTTTTTTTTCCCTATTTGGGTTGAATTTTTTTTTTTTTTTTTTTTCCTGCATGCACATTTCTTTGGGTTGGAAGCGTTTCTGTAACGTTGTGTAACGTTTGCCACTGGGTAACTGTGGGCGGGAGGTACAGAAGTTCTCTTTGGAAATTCAAACAATTTTGCAGATCCATTAAAAATAAGCTTGTTTAAGTTAACTTGTTTGTCCTCAGTGATGTGTAGTTTCATGTCTCCATCGGTGTCGGATTTTAAAAACTCAGTGTTTACTCCATTTCTAACAAGCAGGAAGTTTGTGACCTGAAGAGGGGACATTTTAGTCGAAAAAGTGACTGTGATCTAGCGTTGATCTTCAAACTTCACGTGAAAATAAACCCAAATTACAAATTTGCCTTGAGGCACTTCACACTCTGTGCAGCATAAGACTCCCTCTGTCCTTAGACCCTCAATTTGAATGAATGAGGGAAATCTCAAAAAAAACTTTTTAATGTGTGAAGGAAAAATGGAAGAAACCTCCAGAAGAGGACACATGCAATAGATGTCATGTACAGAATAGAGCAACACTATGGACAATCAGGTTGAACACAGAGCTCCAGTGTTTAGTTGAACCTTCAGACGTCAGTCATCAGTATCTCTCTTGTACATTGCTCCATTTTAGAGCACATCAAAAGATGGTGGACACCTTCCCTCCAGGTTAAGGAGTGAATTTCCCAGTTGTGGGATTAATAAATTTAATCTAATCCTCTTGTGAGTTTCAAAAACCTGGGGAGTCAGCCAGTAATCATGTCATTGATCACACTTGTGTTTGTCCGCCCTGATGATCAGAACCGTTTTGTGGCGTCCTGCATGGTGGGAAGCAAAAACAAACAAACTTTAAAATCGGTATTAGTTTGTCAATGGGGAAAAAATAAATAAAAAAGAAATGTCTAATTGTCTCTGATTAGAAATGAACAGATTAGTCTCAAGTGAAAGACCTACTGAATGTTGGATTTGCAACAGCTCTGCTCTTATTTAAAGCAGATGGGAAGTTTTTAAAACGTCGCATTGCTGAAGGGTCACATTAACATCTGGTGTAAAGTGAACTATGAGAAAAATTGGTAAATCTATGAGCAAAATTATACAGTGGTAAAAAAGACAACAAATCATTGCACTGTCTAGACAAAAGTTAGCTTGAAAACACATCCAGTCTGCACAGCTCTGTGTTTTGATGTACTTTAATCACAGGAAATTATAAATTTTCAAATTTATATTAAAATCACTCAAGTTGTTATTGTGATGTGTATGGACACTTCAAACTTTCATGGTTGAAGTTAACAGTGAAATCTTACACACTAGAATTTGTTGTTGGTACAAAACATTGACGTGCACTGTCAACATCAGTACGTACAGACATTTATAGTATTAGTAGTGATATGACAGTGGGGCTTATGGAAGTGGGTCACTGGGCCTGTTCGCTGGTTCCCATCATGTCTGTGTGTGGCGCCCTCTGGTGGCAGCAGGTCTGAATATCATCACACTAACCTGAATCTTTCTCATGATCTCAAGTTCACGTGTTTATTTAAAACTGTTAAACCTTAACAGAGACTAAATCTGGGGTGTGACTAGATTTATATCATTCTGAGGTTTTATTGTTCATATTTGGATAAACTGCAGGAAAGTTTCAGTCCAGGCCAGAAGTATTTGGACAGTTGTACATTTTCTGTCCTTCAGGCTCTGGGCCTCAGCACGTGCAATTTAAAATAATGTCTGCTATGTAAACATGCAAATCTGAGCTTTGATTTAAGTAGGTTATGTCAATATAGAAGCATATTGAAATAAAAAAAATGTAAATGAGTCAGACAATGGGAAAGTTATTAGGTATTTTCTAAGTGTTTTGAGTTCTGCTTTTGCTCAACTTCGTTTGTTCAACATCCTCCAGCTTCTTAATTGTGGTTTTTGTGCTGCTTTTCTTGGTTTCATGTAGTGGTGGAAGAAGTACGCAGATATTTAATTTAAGTAGCATTGTAATGTAGTGTAAAAATATTCAGTAAAAGTAGCCCATCAGAATGACATGTCACATTAATGTATAATTACTGATGCATTAATGTGACACCACTTTAATGCTGCAGCATGTAAAGGTGAGGATAATTTGAATCACTATTTTGTCTGAAATAACCTCAAAAGTACAATATTTACCTTTTGAAATGTGAATTTCAATCGATTACTTGAGGAAATAACCATCAGATAAAGTTTGATAAAGAGAATAACTGTTAGTTGCAGCCCGAATAGTCTAGCAGTCTGTTGCTGCTTCATACTAATACAACTAATAAGAATACGACACGGTTGGTGTGGATGTAAAACATGTTTTGTTCTTTACATTCTTTATTTATCACCCTCTTCCCTATTCCCAAACCTCCCAGAGCAAATAATGTACACAAAAATAAAATTCTCTCTCTTACAATGAAAACACAAAAACCAGTGCAGAATGCCAGTGGTCACCATTAAGTCCATAATAACTACATTCAGAGATCTTTTCCTAAACACACAGAAAAGTACAGCGGGTTACAAAATCATCATGGTGATATGTTACGGAGAGCCGTCCTCTCCACCCATCCATCCAGTTTGAAGTCGGATGTAGTGTTTCTCACAGACAGGAAATGTGAACGTTACTTTGAAGGAACTGGGGTTCAAGCTTCCCCCAGGTGGAGTATTACAGAATGAAGTGATCAGGTGCCTAAGGGCAAGGCATTTCTGGTTGATACCGTAGTGTCACATTAAACATTAACTTAATGGTCTTGTGATCGTTATTTTCTAAATGTGGGTCTGAAACCCACCTATTCAGTGCTTTGGTTGAGAGACGAGAATGAAGTGTGAACAGCAATGAAAGAAAAAAAGAAATTAAGTCTATTTAGAGTCGTATGAATTAGTGATTTTGGGTGTTTGAGAGACAGAAATACAACACAACGAGAGAAGGCAGCAGCAGTGGACACTGACGAGGGCCTGCCCTAAGAAAAAAAAAAAAAAATCAGCTGACAGGGAGGAGAAAAATATTTACATCAACTGTGTACAACTTAATTTATAAATACATTTTAGGTATAAATTAGAAAAATAAAACAAAAACCTACTGTAGTTCAATCACACTACTGCTACTCTCATTTTAAAATGCCAGTCTGATTATTAACCCTCTTTATATTTGGTGAAAGGTAACAAAAAAAAAAGGAATAAAAAAGGCACAGCAATGAATAATTAGAGCAATTTATCCCTGCAAATTTCTATGAACACTAAATCCCCCATTGCAACAGACATTAAAATATAAATTAAGACAATTTTTTTTTTTTTTTTTTACCAATAAATGTAATTTAACAAGAATTCCCACGTACAAACAGCGTCTACACTAGCAGTTACAACTTTCTTAAATAAATTAAGGCTTTAAGGGGGTACGCCAGAAGTCGTCAAAGAGAGCACCCTGATTTTTATTTATTTTTATTTTTTTCCTGCTTTCGGTTCCTTTGAAGGTTTTCAGGCAACACACATCACACAGTGTACCTCTCACAATTAAAGGAACACTTCAACATCTTGGGAAAACACTTGTTTCCTTTCTCGCCAAAGGTCAGACAAGATGATGGATACCAGTCTTGTTGTGAGGCTGCAGCTCTGACACTCCAGGGAGACATTTAGTGCACAAGCCAAAATAATACGGTTATTGTTCTGTGTCAAAAATAATCACCTATTTTGTATTTTCTGGTACCGTTTTGTGTTACGAAATAAGCAGCTGTTGTTGCAGTGATATTAGGACAGAAACATGAGGCCTAGTGCTTTCAGATGCAGTTTGTCAAGGTTGAGTGACCGTTCAGCTGGATGGCATCTGGAGTACGGTAACAAAGCCCCCTCCTAGTGTTCAGTGTTAAAGCATGAGCTATAACCAGAGCTGCAATTTTGCAGTCCATTGACAGAAAATTGATTGATTTTGATAATTAAGTGACTATTTCTCTTATTTTTAAAGTGTAAAATCTCCTGGTTCCAACTTCTCAAATATGAGGAGTTGATGCCTTTATGTCGTATGGACATGAAACTGAATATCTGTAGTGTTTTGGAGAGAAGTTAGACTTCTGAATACATCACTGAGCCATGATAAAAATTATAACTGCCACTTTTAAAATTTGTATTCATTTGTGACATTATATAGACAAAGAGATTTATCGATAAGGGAAATAATCCTTTTTTGCAGGTCTAGATGTAATTAGTTAATTAGTGTGTGCTTTAAAGATAGTGTTTCCAGTCTTTATGCTAAGCTAACCAGCTGCTAGCTGTAGCTTCATATATACTGTACAAGTATGAAAGAGTACCAATTTTCTCATTTATCTCTCGACAAGAAAGCTAAGCAGTGTGTTTTTTCCCCAAAGTGTCGAAACCATTCCTCCAACGTGTCGTGTGTTGATGTGATCTTGTTCTGCAGAGCGTTCTGACTCATCCTACAAACATACTTATTCCTATGTTTAAGGTTTTAAATGCTGTACCGTTGCAACCCCCTTCACACACACAAACACCCTCCACAAACTCTTCATGTACAAGCAGCTCAGGCGGCCCCAGGTGCTACACGTAGACCAGGTCTCGGCCCTGTGTTGCAGAGCTACCGGCCGCCTCCTGCACCGGGTCCTCTGAGTCCGCCTCGTCCTCGTTGTAGCCCTCATACTCGATGGGTTTGGGGCAGCTGTACGGGTGGCCGTTGTCATCAAAGAAGCGGCGGAAGGTGAACTCGTAGAAGGCGTGCTCCGGGTGTTTGCCGTTGCGGAACCAGCCGTTGAGGGTGTCATTGTGGTTGTCCTCGCCGTCGCTGTCGCTGCTCCACAGCTTGTCCGGGTCCACGGGGTCGAAGTTGGAGGTGTCTGTGGAGTGGGCGATGGTGGGGATGTAGGGCGCCACCTGCTGTCTCAGGTCGCTGGAGAAGTCGATGGTCTTGAAGAAAGAATGAGCTTTGATTTCGTCCGTACCGTTCTTACCGAGGCGATCCTCCGGGCCTCGGCACAGTTTAACGATGAGATCCGACGCCTCTGGGCTGAGCTTGGCTGGCGGGGGAATATGCAGCGTGCTCTTCCAGTTTATCACCTGGTTTCAACAGAGAGATGACATTAGGAAACAATGAACTCATGCAGATGCTTAACATTTCACTGCACGTGCCTCACATACCTTCAGCTGCGTCTCCAGGGGAGTAGTTGCTAAGAAGGGAGGCTGTCCAACGACCATTTCATACAGGATGACACCGACGCTCCACCAATCACAGAGCTGCGTGTATCCTGGAGAACGTTGAAGACAGTTTTCCATCAGTCATCTGCAGCATCCTCATTTCTCAGGAGGGTTTGAAATTATGTTCTAATTTGTTATTATTATTTATTATAATTATAATTTGTTTGTTCTAGTTTTGATTTCTCTGCATAATTACAAAGGATACCAACATCTACTATCTGTCAGAGGCAGCTCATCAAATCTCCATACAGCTGAAATGATGCACCATCAACAGACAGGAAATTAATCTGTAACTAATTTAATAATTCATTGATCATTTGTCAAATGCCAAACACTTTCTGGTTTCTGCTTCTCAAATGTGAGAATTTGCTTCTTTTCTTTGTCATATTTCTTTAGGTGTTGGACAAACTTTTTTGTCTAAATGAGAAATTTAGACAAAACAACAGTCCTACAGGAATTTCTCGGCACCTGAACACGTTGGAGTCTGAGAAATTGTGATGTGGCGCAGAAATCCCTGGTCTTATGTTACCTGCTCCACACAGTGAGGCATATAGATTATAAACATAGGACTCGGTTTCAGCAGATACCTTAAGTTAAAGTACACACAGCCCTTACAAAGTGTACACATTAAAAGTTACTCATGCAAAAACATCACAATCAAAACAAATGAGTGAGTGACATTGTGAGAGCGCTGCCCTCTGCCTCTGCTCCACTGCACCTGTTCGGAGCAGCACTTCTGGTGCTATGTAGTTGGGCGTCCCGACCAGTGAATGAGCCAGACAGCGCTGGTGCTGCCGGGCCTTCCTCCTCTCCAGAGGCTTCAGGCGGTCTGTGCAGCGGCAGTTCGCTGGGTCTTCCCATTCCTTACTGAAGTCCATGCTGTCCTGCCTCACATGGTCCCCTGGAGACAGACCACAAAGTACAATGCTCGTTACTTTGCTCGTTATACTGATCAGCTGAGGCTTTCTGACAGCGTAGCTGGTGTGTATTTTAACTGTTTTTGTGCTCTCTTCGCATTTAGCATTTTCATGACTTCCAAAATATCAGCGTCACATTATTTCTCACTGTGTCTGAGGCGTTCCAGGAATTTGGATATTTTCCATCAATATCTAGTTGTTTCCTGACAGAACGTTAAGCAGCACTTGCCTAGCAGAGAAATGTATTCTTGGCAGGCTGCAGGAGCTCCAAGTTAGATTATTGTTCATCTTCTGTTGGAAACTTTATAACCAACACACAATTTACTGGATTAAATTATCTGAATGTAAACTACCTGCACCCTCTTTCTGAACATGCACCAGTGTCCTGCATATTAACGGTGTACTTGCATAGTTTGACTGATGCCTTCATCAAGTTAGTACACACCGTGACACAAGACTATTACACTGTCACTACTTTAATACATGAATACCTCCCTCTACACTGGCATCATGCCCTCCACTTCTTTTATCAGGACAATCTCAGACAATCAGAGTGCTAACAATGACACAACTGATATGGCCAAAATAATTAGTGGATCAATAAAGTTCATCAGCAATGATTTTGATAATCAGTGGATAATTCCAGACTTGTTCTTGGAAATTGTGATGGGTATGCGTTTCTTTTTGCCGCCATGTTGTGATTGTTTTGTACATTACTCTGCATTACCATGGGAGTCTTTATAGTAAATGTACTGTGAGTTCATCTTCTCATTTTAAAATAATCTTATCTGAGGATTTACTTTAGATAACAAGGTGAATTTAACGTTACAGACGACCTGTCAGTTAATGAAAGGTGATACGCACCACTCTGGTAATACTTGGAGTCATGTGTCCAGCGGAAGCCAGTACAAAGGCCAAAGTCGGTCAGCTTTATGTGTCCGTCTCGGTCTATGAGGATGTTATCAGGCTTGATGTCGCGGTGGATGAAGCCCATCTTGTGGACGCTCTCCACGGCGCAGGTGAGCTCCGCTATGTAAAACTGAGCCAACTCCTCTTTGAAGATGCCGAGCCGGATGAGAAGGCTCATCATGTCCCCTCCAGGGATGTACTCCATGACGAAGTACAAGTTGTCCTTGTCTTGGAAAGAGTAGTAGAGACGCACCACCCACTCGTTGTCGGCCTCAGCCAGGATGTCCCTCTCAGCCTTGACGTGGGCCACCTGGTTCCTCAGCAGCACGTCCTTCTTCCGGAGCGTTTTCATGGCGTACAGCGCTCCCGTATCCTCTTTTCTGGCCAAACACACCTCACCGAAAGCGCCAATGCCGAGGGTCTTGATTCGTTTGAACATGGATTTATCCATCTTGGCTCGCTTTAGCCGGATGTAGTTGGACTCCTTCTGACAGAGCATCATACGCATCTGCTCCTGGGCTTCTGAAGACAGACCCACCTGAGCACAGGACAAAGTCAAAAGCAATTTAAAACTAGATATAATTTGTAAATGTATCAAAACAGCACATAAACTCCTGGTTAGACATAAACTGGCATTAAGAGAATCAACTGTAGAAAACCAATGCAAATAAACTGAGATGCAAAAATATGTTTTTTATGTGTTGTCATTATCATTTTAGTCCAAAAACAAAAATGCACAAGCAGTGACTTTATCGGTGAGATGAAGAACATGGAGTGACATGCATTTCCTTCAGCCACAGGGGCAACATGCTTTCATCAGATGTAGTGCATTTAAAACACAAAGAGCGGTCTCTCAACAACAGCTTACGTGAATAACTGATGTGTGTATGTCACAGGACAGCAGAGATACCTTTACCTTTTTAGATCAGCTGTTAGTGATAGCAAGGAGAGAGAGGAAGAAGAAAGAACAGCTGAGAAAAAAGTAGAATAATATGATGAAGACATCTCAGAGACAAATAATATGCTGATGACAGTTAAAGGGGAAAAAAAGGTCAGAAAACAGAGAAAAGTCAAGAGGATTGATCTTTAGCTGCGATCGATTAAGAAAGAAAATCCGTTCACCAATGTTGTTACTGCTTTCTCACCCTTTGCATCTCACTTTCCAGCTGCTTCCTCCTCCTGATCCGCTGCTGGTGGTTCTTTAGGATGTTCTCCACATGTTGCTCCATGAAGAACTTGAAGGCCTGAGGGGAGTACAGTGCGACTCTGCCAGACTCCCCCCTCCGCTCCTCATCTTTCTTGTTACGGCGGACAGGAACGGGCGATGTCGTGATCTGCTTTTTCTCCTTCTCTGTCGCTGCGGTGCCTTTGGGGTTTTCTGCCGTCTTGTCTCTGGAGTTGTCACCGCCGCCGACTTCCTCCTCCATGGGCTCATCTCTGCCACAGCTGATCTTATTGGCGCCTGGATCGTATGCCGGGGGACAGGGTGCAGATGTCTGCTGGAGGAGGTGCTTAGGGTAGGGCGGAGGGGGACCCTGGTAGCTGGGTACCTCTGCTACTACAGGGATCTGAGGAACAGGAGCTGAGGGTTCTGGGTAGGAAGGTGCAGCTTGAGGGGGTGGAGCCTGCTGCAGCCACGGAGGGTGTGTGGGCGCAACTGCCGTGTGTAACTCAGGTTTGTGAACACGCATGCTTTTGACTGGCTGCAGGATGGGAGCTTGGGTGATGGCAGTGACTGTGGTGGCTGAGGGCTGGGAGCTGGCTGGGTGGGCCGCTCTGCCATTCAGCTGGTGGTTGTTGAAGGAGTTAGAGCGAACTGGGATGTTGTGCTGCCATGACGGGGACAGATCCTGGTTGCTGCTGTTGCCAGAGGCGGACTGTGGCTGGTTAGGGGCCAGAGGGGGTTGGGACCAGGACTGAGGAGGACCTATGTTACACATGTCAAGGTTGTGACTATTCCGGTTGGGTACCATCATGGACTGAGGGATGTTCCCACCGTTGACGTAAGAGGGAGAGGGTACAGGTCCTCCTGCCTGCATCTGCTGATCAGTGGGACTGTGCCGGCTGCTCTGGTTCACTGGGTATGGGGGAGGAGGTTGTCGGCTGCCCCCCGCCATGTAGTCTGTCTGAGGGGAGCCATTCTGAGACCAGCTGGAGGGGAAGGTGAACTTACTCCCTCCAGAGCTTTGCATTATGATGGGCTGGTGGCCCACAGACACTGGGCTGATCCCACGCTGATTCTGAGGTGCTGCAGCTGGGTATCCATCAGGCCAGGCCCCCTGCGGTATCGGAGAGATGCGTGGCACAAGGTAATCCATGTTGCCAGAGTAGCGCTTGGTTGATGGGTTGCTGTCCCAGGACGTTGCAGGAGGCATGGCACCGCGGTTTGGTGGAGGTGTCACACTGCGTACCTGAGGCGGCAGTGGAGGGTTGACTCTCTGGCTGTTCCCAGGGTGACCTTGTGAGAAGGCAGGAGGTGGTCCGGGGCTGTCAGAGCGGTACATTATTCCATCTACCATGATGGGACCATGTCGAGGAGCCAGAGACTCCTTAGAGCCTTTCCAGCTTGGTCTCCTCGGCACAGACTGTTGCATATGGGAAGCACCTACAGACACACAAAGCAGTGAAAATACAATCAAGGTAAAGTAAGAGGCTGAGTTTATTCAGCAGAAGGGAAACAACAGTTAGAATTTTTTCGACAAAAACTATTTCTGATAATGAGCAATAACTATTTAAATACTCCATGATTTGGCCTGTAAAAAGGTTCATATCATAATAACTACAATCAAACCACAAGACTTTATTTGTAAAAAAGTGGGATCAACAAAGTGAATAGGAGGATAAATTTTTTTTTAAATCCAACTGAAAATAAAATAAACATACACACTCATATATAAACACGACTTTCCCAGATACCAAATCTTTTGTGATGTGGTTAGTCATCATGAACATTTGACTCTGCTTTGCCTACAAAGTATTAACTTATTGTGGTTTTAATAGAGGGCCAGAACTGTTGTCAAAACACTCACACATACAAAGTACTTGTTCATAGTACAGTATGTTGACGACATTATGTATGAAAATCATAAACCTATTTTCGAGACAACTTCTTTCATTATGAGATGCAGTGACTCATACTCTCTTTCTCAGCGTGTATTGTTCATTTCTTAAAGCAAATGTCCCAAATCCTGCAAACAATATCAAGGCTGAATAAAAGAGGAGAACCAGCAGTTAATCCCAGCAGACTGTTTACGTACCTGGGGCTTTCAGGCCTGTAGTGTTGGGGTTGGCAACAGCCATCTGTTCCCTCATTGAGTCCTGGTAGGTCAACTTACCACTGTAGTCTATAGCCACCCCCACATTGCGACTGTTGCTTGGCTAAAGGACGCAAAAAAACAAAACAAAACAAACGTTGTATTTTTTTGTTTAAGCAATTAATGTGTGACAAGATGCAAACAAGCTGTAGTCAAAGTGTTTTTTTTTTGTTTTTTTTTTACTATTAATGTTACAGCTGATCACTACTGCACTGCATACCATTTCATACCTGGCCTGCACTCAAAACAAGTGGCGATTGCCAACCTCGAAACCACTTTGTATTCACAACTGTACAAGCTTGTCATTCCACTTTTCATACTTGTCATTTTTCAAATTATTCTGCCCTAAACAAAGTGCACGAAGGGATTAATCTGTTGCAGAGTTATGTATAAAATGACAGTCTTCCACAATCCTTTACAACAACCTGTTTTGATAACGAAACAAAAAACAAAAAAACACGAAAACACGAAAACACTCATCTCACCTCCTCGAAACCTACAAATGGGGGTTCCAGTGACATGTGCTTGTTCACCTCAGGGCCTGAAGTGTTGGGCTCGTTGGCAAAAGGCATCAGGGATTTCCGGATCTCCTGTAAGGCCTTATGATAGGGGTTTTTGGGGTTGCTGCAGCGTCCTTGCTGCCTTGGATCCTCAGGAAGCATTTTTCCAGCTCCACCTATGTCCACTTTAGGTAGGTCAGAGGGTTTCGGCAGGTTGCGCAGGCTGTTCCTTATTTCCTGCAGCATTTGCTGGCTGTTGCCACTGTAGTTGCTGGCGGGGAATGTTTTGGGCCTCATCTGTCTGTATCCTTCGGGTTTCTCCCCTCTCTTCATGTAAGAGCATGTATGATGACTATGAAGGGGATGAAGAAGATGTCACTCAGTCCAGGGTTGCAGCAAAGGGTAGCAGGAATCTGACTTCACATCTGCATGCTGCTGAAAAGAAATATTCAAAACAAATCTGTGATGAGCAGGCATGCAGAGCACATGTCATGTTACCTAACAGGTTGGACAAATATGATGCAGAGAGTACTAATTAACCGATACTGACAGATAAACATCACATGTGGAGATTATATATGGAGATTATTATCAGCCAGACTGTCATATTTGAGATTGAATAAACAGAAAGACAAATAGATATTTTATAGATCCCTAAGGAAATGTAGGCACCCAGCAGCTTATTCAATACAGTCAATACAAATCAATGCAAAACAAACATCTGAAGTTACAACTGCTGAAGCAAAAAAAAGGTAATAATAACTAATAACAATCAGACGAAAACTGAAATGAATAGTAATACTAATGAAGCAAAAATGACCAATGACAAACAGAGGAATGTCTATATAATAATACCAGCTGATAATATGACATGGTAAACTAATAATAAGCAGCTGGGAAGCAATATAACACGAACATTAACTAAAGAAAAAGGCTGATTTTACTGTTTTATTATTTTAATTCCATTTAAACCTAGTGTGCAGACTTAAAGGTAGAGAAACCTGCCACCAAAATGAAGATTACACCTTCACAAAACGAGACCCCGTCCACTTGCTAGCGTCGTTAGCACTGTCCGCTAACAGAGCGCTACTTCAACGCTAATCCTTCTGCGTCGAGGATGCTAACATTAAGCGCTAAAGCTGTTTGCCAGATTCGCCTTAATATCCCCAGAACGTATCGATCAGATGAGCCACAAAATGTTGATCTCTTTATTTCACTTTGCATAAAATCAAGCGGCGCAGCAGTGCCTCGGCGGCCCTGTGTGTTAAAGGCATCCATTTGCTGCTTGCTAGGCTAATTCAACAACAGGTTGAGAATTAGCCTGCTAGCTCGTTAGCCGTGTTTGACAACTGACCAGTGTCTGTAGCTGCCGCTTCCCTCGACACTTGTCCTATTTTGACGACAAACGACGTTTCCTCGACTTTTCTCAGCGACAAGGACACGATTTTGACTTAAAATGTCCTTGTAGTGTCGAGCTGGTTGGTTCCCAGTCGTGTTGAATTCCTGTGATGTCTGAATGACAAGTAAAACAGCCGCAAGCTAAACTCCAAAACAACACAACAGACTTCCGATGCATGTAGATTTCACAATAAAATACTTCTGCACGTAACCCCTGAGGATAGTTTAGAAAAGGTAAATAATCGGTTTAAATTAAAATATGTGAGATGTATTTTCGTTAAATTTGATTTAAAATCTGAGACACACTCAGCGCCAGTTAACAAAGTTGGTATTTACAACGCTATCACTTTAATTTTGAACGGAACGCGACTGGGGGAATTATGAGGTGAAACGTTGGGAAACTTCACACAAGTTTCCCGGATGCAAACTTTTCAGTCTTCACCCCTGAACCATCTACTCACCTGTACCAGTGAACACAACTGGGCTGAACTTGTAAAGTGGATTTTGTGTTTTATATACAGCAGTAGAGGTAATTTGAACTACAAATGTGAATATAGGAGCAGACCTACAATACTCACTTGTGGTGTTAAAAAACAAGCATGAATTTCAGTATTAACAAAACAGTAAGACATTTGTGTAAGGGCTTTTTTATTTATTTATTTATTTATTTCAAAACCATTTTAAATGACATTCATACAAAAAGGTACTGCTGAAAACAAATAAACTGCTTGGAATGATTTACCTTGAGCCATGATGATCCATCAATGAAACTGCAAAATGTGTATGAAACTATTAACAGAAAAATACACAGGCCAAAATGTCACAAGCACGCTTTTGAACATATAGTATTCGTGGCTCCCTGTGTGATCAAGGCAGACAATAAAACCTCCGTTGTGGCTGAAACTGACTGTAAATAAACATCTTGTCCTGTGCACTAACAAATACTTTTTAAACTGGGACCTGTCTGTTGACAAAAATAGCTTCTCCGTCAGTCCCACAGACAAGACATTGTCCAAGTACATCCAAGCTGTTGACCGACAGCGTCTGGCTGGGCAGCATGTGAGTTGTCTCCAGACGACCTTTACTGGAGTCTCCGCTCAGCCAGGCGCTGATGAGGGACTGGTTCCCTCCAGCCGGAGCCATTGCACTGCGAGAGAGCATGCTGCTGTTCCTGCCACCTGGGAATACGATGATAAAACACATAAATTACGATTTGAGATTATAATAATTACTGTACTATTATACTGCAACATAAATACTATTATTATGTTGGTGTACAGCTTCCTTGGTATATTGATATGCCAGCTTTTTGGCTCTTGGTTACGTGTATCACACTGTATATAAGTACTTCAGCAGAGTAAATGTGCTTTCCATTCCACCACTGAATTTTTAAAACTATGCCAATCCTTAAACATACAAAAACACATATATTCCTACAGATAATCTAACCTTTTCATTGATTGAGCTGTTTTTTTCTTTGGAAAATGGAGTTTGTCATCACCCCTCTAGCCTAAAAAAATAAGAGACATGTAATATTTTGACTTGCCTTGTAGGAAGGAAGGCATTTCTGAATGTGACGATGTCTCCCAGTGCAGCAGCGAGCCGTCCTCTGAGCATGTGAACAGATGGTCTGGGTTGGTCGGGTGGAAGTGGACCTCCCACACTAGTCAGAAAACCACAGAAAAACACTTTTATAGAACAAAGCAGAAGTTATTGCAAAAAGAGAAATATAAACCTTTTCATATATAACCTCTTCAAAATTAACTTGTAAGCTTATATCTGCTAAATTAAACCATCTGCCCACAATAAAATCTTACTTTCAGCAGAGTGTGCCTCCATGAGTGAGAAGGGAGTGTTGCCTTGTCTCACATCCCAGACACAGAGCATGCCGTCCTGGCCTCCTGTGGCCACAATATGCTGTTGGTTGGGATGTCTGTCCACACAGTGCAGAGGAACTCTATCCCCCGACCTGATGAGAAAACAACTTGTCACAACTGCTTGTAATCAAAATCACACAGATATAAAAGCACAATAAGGAAAGAGCAGAACAGACAAATAAATGTTTGATTTGATTTTTTTTTCTTATAACTGAGGGGATCTTACAGGGAGAGAATCTGGGATGGCGAGTTGCTCTGTTGTCTGAAATCCCACAGCTTGAGTTGGCCGATAGAGTTCACTGTCAAAATCTCTGTTGTCCTCAGGTAAGTCACGGCATGAATCGTGCTGCTGTCTGCATTCTCTAGTAATGTGAGAGCGGTAAAAGGAGTTGGTCACATTATTCCAAGTCATTCACACAAATTGTAATTCTGTGTAATTCTAATGCTGTTCTAACTGCAGATGTTTAATCTTAATCTCACCTATGACTCGAATCACTCCTTCTTGGTCGGCTCTGAAGACGATGATCCTGCCATCTTCACCAACCGTAACAATCTCCGGACTGCTGCACACAACACCAGTACAGGGGGCGTTGTCACAAGGGTAACGATGTGCTCTTGTCCAGTGCTGAGAAACTGATATTGTCTGCAGTCAAGAGAGAGAAGACAAAAGAAATTTGATGATTTATCAAACCACAAGTTTGTTATATTTCCAGTTAAGCAGTTTGTTCAAAACTCTTTTCCTTGAGCTACAACATATTTGTGCAGCCATTTCCAGCCCTTTCACTTTCACAGTTTGGTTTGATAAAATGAACTTACATTTTACATTTACATTTGTCAGGTATGCCATGACATTATACAAAATGAGCACCAAGTGGCAGCATAAGATATTACATTTACTGTCCAGGATCTGCTGGAAATGGCTGCAGTCTCCATGTGTCCACATGTAAGAAGCAGGCTTGTTATGGATTGCCTCCAGCGTAGTCTGGATCTGAGTAAAGCACACTGTGTATGAGGATAATGTATACCTGACTGTTTTGGTGGTGGCGGAAGATGGTGACTGCTCCAGTTGAAGATGCTGTTACGATTCTGTCTTGGTCCAGAAACTGTCAAGTATAAAAGAAACAAAGTGAAATGAGCCCTGGCACTTTAAGTAAATAGGCTTACACACATTTATGTGTATGTCACATCTATCACTTTTGTTGGCAAGATCTTGTTATCCTAGTTCACAAATGTAAAGTACTGTGCATTTAGGATTTTCTACACATCAAATAAATTGACAGTGAAAACTTCTTGTTTTCAGGTTATTTATATTACATTAGGAGACTTACCTGAAGGTCTAGAACATCTCCATCATGCTTGTGTTCACATAATAGCTGTGGATCGCCTTCAAATCCATCTTCCATGCCAGGACCTCCATGATTCCCAATAGACCAGAAGGAAATCTTGTTGTCCTGCCACAAGTACACATTGGGGCTGAAGTCCAACTTAGATATACTTGTTATACTGACAGTTGACAAGTTCAGTTTTGAGATACTTGATTCTTTTATGCCACAATATGCCTATTTAACTGACAGCTAAAATTACTTCACATATTCTGATTTTACAAACTAAACATATCATTTATAAAAAGTGATACAGTGCTACAGATTAAACTATAAATCAGTATATATTCACAAAGACACTCACATTTATATTGACACTTTTACCTACATATACCAAGATATACATCAACCCAAAGTAAACAAGAGCTTGTGCAGAAGAGGCAGGAAGCTATAACTTTACCCAAAGACACACAGAATTACTACACCAAATAAAAACGATAAAGGACTGACAGGTTACTCTAAAATAACTTTTAAAAAAGGACAAAAAGAGAGAACACACATATATAACTATTATTCCTCATTCCAAATGTTCCACAGTCAACACTGTATTTTGGGAAGCTACCAATGCTTGTTTCAGGTGTTTCTTAAAAGTAAACACAGGTGATGAATGATGAACAATATGAAAGTTTAAATCCCACAAAACAGCACCCATTTTTCCAGATTTAGTTCGCTTCAGACATAATGTGATTTGCAATTAAGAGAGTATCATCATACTTAAGTTAATTACTTGTTCCACCACTGTCTGCCAATTGTCTACTCTCTCTCAAGGAATTTACCAGCCATAGCTATGCCAAACTTTATGCCTTACACTAGTAATTAACAGGTTTAGTTTAATACTCCTGAAATCATTGCAAAATAGCAAATACAATATTAGTTAATGCACTGGATGCATGCTGAAAGGGAACCTTACGATTCATAACGTGTCTTAAGTCGTGATCTTACAATTACAGCATGACCGCTATTTCGCGAAATGAAATAAAAGTATTGATATTTTTATTAAGTCTGCCGTGAAGTTGATTAATCATAAATATTAAGTGTCAACTTGCCAACCTCGTTGTCCCACGAGCCAGTCGCAAAGACTTCTGGTTGTTGCAGAGACGAATACGACACTGGTTTCCATCTCGTTTTGCTGATTTTCTGGGACACGTATTTAGCATTTATACTCTCCATTGAAACAGAAACAGTCTATCACACTTTAGGTTAAAAAAAACGTTAACCGGTATTAGCTTAGCATTCGTGAGTGCAACCGAACTGTACGCGCCTGCTACTAGGCACGTAACTACGGAGGCGCAGTGGGGTCAAACAACCATAACAGGCAACCGTCCTTCTTCTGGGTTATTCTAGCGTTTGGTAAATAGTGAAATGGTGCATTACCCCTACCAGCTGGTATGAACTGTGGACCGGGACTTATACTATAGTATTGGTAGATACACATATGGACATACAGCAAACACAAGGGCAACAAAATTGAACAAGGATAAACTAGATGTGAATGTATAAACTTCTATTAAAGCAATGCAAACTGATCAATTATTTCAGTCTACACTGACTTCTGTTGTGCTGACAGTGTGAAATGTGTTATCAATTTAAAAAAAAAACAACTGTAACGTTGGACTAAGACAAATTTCATTTGTGATGTTACGATGATCCTGAGATATGCATGGATTGTTCTGGTAGCGTTATTAAATGCTGTGCTGAGCTGCATTTGAATTTTGAGTTACCAAGCAAAACAAGTGTCTCGTGCCACCTAGCGGCCACCGTCTATGTTACTGCGGCAAATTTCATTGACTGAGTGAGGAATGTGGCTTTTTCCTGCACAAGTAACCTTAGTTAACGCATTTATTTAAATTGATTCATTATACTGTAAAATGCCCCTGCTGTGCGTCAGGGTGTGTGTTATAAAGGCCGCCCTGCAGTGAAATAGTTTGGATGTCCGGTGACGTGCCCGCCGCTCCGCCGTCTGCTCTCGAGGTTGTCAGCTTCGTTGGCAAAACAGTCGGCGCAGGCGCGGCACTGACAGCTGCTGTCTACTTACTCCGCAAAGTCTGCTTAATAATGGCCTGGAAATCTGGAGGAGCAAGCCACGCAGAGCTCGTCAACAACCTCCGCAGTGAGTCCACATGTTTTGCTAAGCGGCAGCACCGGCGTCTTCAAGGGGGAAGCTTGCACGAAAACGGTTTAGTTTTGGGGGCTGAGTCAAGCGCGGTAGCTAGCTAGCTGGTTGCTAAGCTATGTGGTATGTTGTTGTTGACCTAGCGTTACCTCTCTCCACCCCTTTGCCAAACCACGTTTACGCCGTGGAACAGACGCATGCCTCCGTTGCTGCAAAATAAATTACCAATAACGACACACAATACATTTTATCTTGTATGTGGTCGCAAAATATTTTTGCAGGTTCAGTTCTTTATTAGAGTTAGCTTAGCCTGCTAGCTCTATGTGCGTCATTTGGGACGTTACAGCTAGCGTTAGCTGCGCGGCTAGGTGCCCTGCCCACATTCATTGATGTCTCTCTCTGCACCATTCACCTCACTGTTACATGAATGACACTGACAGATGGACGTGTGAGGTTATGGTCTGCAGTGCCTTTTTTTAGTGGATCATAGTAAATAGCAATTTGCTGTGTCACAGTGGGCACTAGTTGTTTATTCAGGCGACAGTGAATGCACAAAAAAGGGCTCATAGTGACTCATAGTTGCACCCTGCTAGACGGCTGTTATCTAGTCCATTATGATCCAGTCCACTGTGATCGATGCCGTCAATGCTCGTGGTTTATTCTGTAATCAGATGGTAGTTCACTGTGTGGTAAAGGAGACAAACTCTAACGCCCTGATCAGACATGTAAAGTATCTCACTTGCATAATGGAAAATGATATTCAATGTGATGATGTCTGTGGACTTGAATATGTAAGTCCAATTTCAATATAAAGTATCTAGCAGGGCTATTTATATTCTGTTCGGTCCAGCACAGCAGTTGACAGTTCAGTTGCAATCATTTTGTTTTCGGGAACAGAGTCCAGTCTTGCTCTATTTGCTCTAAAACAAAAGCAGAAGCTTAACTTGCATAGTCATCTATGTTTATCTTCCATGGTAAAAGATTTGATTATGTACCATTTATCTTGCACATGGAAATAAAAAAGATTATCTACACAAGGAAGGTGAAGCCAGTTCCTCAGTATGCAAAGCAAGTCAGTACTACAGGATGATGAAATTCTTGAAATATTTTATTCTCACGGTCAGCTTTTTAGTCAAATTCAGAAGCATTATGTCAATGATGCAAATCACTTACTGGCATTGGTACAAGAACATGTTTTCAAGTTAAAGCTTCCCTTACTTGGTCATGGTATAGGTGCAAATAAAATTCAAATATCCTTATTTTGATTGTTTTGTTTAATGTTGTTAATATTTAGATTTTATGCTCCTCTTGATTGAACGCTTTACCGGGCATTGACCCATTTAGACACACGAATATCTTAAATTTAACCCTGAGTTTGCATAAACTGGATTTAAGCAGGTCACACACAGGATGCATGCTAATTCACCACTTTGTCATTGTCTCTGTCCTCCTGACCGGTGTTCAGAACTGGTCTGTTCAGGCAGTAATAGTTCACCCAGTTACATTTGTTTAAAACCTTGAATGTCTCATGGATTTTTAAAGTCCAGCACCCAGTTATGTGTTCAAATTGTATACTAAATAGATTTATAGTCTATAGAAAACAGATTATATTTGGTTTTCTTTTCCCTGGCCTTTGCAAAGACAGTTTTGAATTCTGAGAATATATTTTTTTGGATAGAAGAAAACGATTTGAAATCTGCCAGTACTGGTTATGTTAATTTCAGAAATCACTAGTAGGTGTCCATCTGGCAGCTTGTATGGTTTATTTGTAATGTATCCTAAAGTGGTGCATAGCTCTGAGGGTGAGGGGAGTTGGTAATGAGAGCAGCGCCGGCTGTTGTTGGCTTTTCCTTCCTTTGGCACCAGCTGCTACAGGAACCTGTTAGGAAGGATTATTCTGAAGACACTAATACTTCTCTGGGGAGCTTTTTTAATTTCTTTCATGACTTGTCTATAAGCTTGTGCACTTTTCTGTAGTTTACACGTGTGGCTTTCTGTAGACTGGTTCATGCCAGTAACACACATCTGTTTGTATGCTGCTACATTTCATCCGAAATGTCTTCTGATATTACATTTTTCATATTGGGCATGTTGTGATTTGCAATTTAATTTTCATCCTGCATAGAATTTTATACTTTTCCTTCCTCTTTATCTCAGTGTTTTCCATCCTTAAATCTCTGCATACAGTACACAGTTTAATTAGTATAGATTCGTACTATCCATTGTTGTCTAATTAATAATTATCATTACCATAGGAGTGGGTGATAAGGGAAAAATCCTCTGTCACAATATATGTAAATTCATATTACTGTATTGATATACAATAGTACAGTTCATGTCAGTACACAGATGTGTGGCACATCTGTTTGTATGCTGTTGTCTTTATTTCATCCTGCATATATTTTCATATTTTTCACTCCTTTTTGTCTCAGTATTTTCTGCTAATTACTCCCTTCATACAGTGATCATTATATATTCATACTGTTAATTTGTCTCTATATGTACCATAGTAGTGTGGATAAACCCCGATGTCAGGGTGTATCTAATTGTATATTGTGTTGTCGGTATAGGTCATTGTCTTGAAAATCTGTTTAGAAATGAGTAAAATAACCCAACAGGAATGTTACAGTTCAAGGTATATTATCACAGTGATGCAGAAATAATAAAAAAGATAATAAAGTTTTCCTGCTCATTGATTTGGAAAATTGCCTAAAGGATAGGTAGCTCTAATGGTAGACAAAAACTCACAGTATATGTTGTATAATATAACCTAATATACTATTGTTGTTACCTGTATCTTAATTTATATTTTGTATATTCTTTTATGTATTTTGTCTGTTTCAGTGCAAGATTTATGTAATATACTGTATGTCTTCCTGGTGTTGGTACTTGTGCGTGTTTCCATAATACACAGTGACACACACTCTTTTGTATCTACAGAAAATGGCATTATTAAATCCGACAAGGTCTATGAAGTCATGCTGGCCACAGACCGAGCCCATTTCTCTAGGTGTAATCCTTACATGGACTCGCCGCAGTCAATAGGTACGTCCACTCATGAAATCAGTCTAAAATCCAAATACATTCTGACGTCTGAGGCATGAACTAACCAAATCTATACGTTTCTTTTAACCACAAGGCTATCAAGCAACCATCAGCGCCCCACACATGGTATGACTTTAAAGACTCTCAGACACTTCTGCACCCTGTGAATCACATTTTTTTTTGTAAAGCTTGCTCCCATTCAGTCATTCAGTAGATAATAAAGAGAAGCAGTCAGAGAAATGTTCCACATTATCATCCACTTTTTATCCCAAATATAATCTTACCAGTTTATTTTTGTTGCAGTTAACCAAATCTAAGCTAATTTATGGATTTGTATGGATTGCTGCCATGTTAGCTTTATCAGATCCCTCTGATATTTGGCTGTCAGAAGTGTGAGCTTGTTTGTCAGCTACTTTAGCCCTTGTATGACCTGAGTGGGCTGTACCTTATCATAGTCAGTGTTTGATACAATATGGATGCTGAGTGATGGGTTATAATGCAGTTTCCTTGTTGACACCCCCCCCAATCCATCCCTCCACCCAGCACGCCTACGCACTGGAGCTTCTACATGATCAGCTGTATGAGGGGGCCAAAGCTCTGGATGTTGGCTCCGGCAGTGGAATCCTGTCCGTCTGCTTTGCACGAATGGTGAGCCACACACATGACGGGTAAACGCATACAACTTCTCTTTGGTGGCTTTCTGATATAATAACACTGCTCGCTTTTAATTAGCTTGCCAACCAGTCAACATAAAATATGTCTAATGTTGTGAAATTCTTTGTGCATGAACTGAATACCATCCCTCCCTCCCACACTTTGCAGGTAGGTCCTAAAGGAAAAGTTATAGGAATTGATCACATCAAAGAGCTGGTAGATGATTCTATAAACAATGTGAAGAAAGATGACCCCAGTTTGATAACATCGGGCCGAGTCAAGCTAATAGGTAAGATGTCACTGATTGACAGATTACAGGCTTTTTGTGCATTCTTTTGTTCTATTGTGAAACAATTTTAGAGCTTGCTTGTGTGGCACAAATTGCAGCTGACTGTTGGTTTTAAAGCCAGGGACAGTGTGATGCTTGTTAGACCTTTCTGTCCTCTCAGTGGGGAACTAAAAACACAGTTGCTCAGTAGACAGGATAGTGCAGTACTAAATAATTGAGCAGCAAGTCCCGACTTTCACCTGCTCTGCAGTGGGGTGGTAGTGCTGAAACTACTGCTGAATTGCTGAACTGCTGAAACTAGTGTGGGTGTGTTAATGCATCTATTTTTTGTTTTGTAACTGAACTTTTATTTAAGAAAATTAATTCCAGTTTTTACCCTTATAGTAAGTATAGTAAAAATACCAAACAGTTGCTGGATACTGCTACATATACTGTATGTAATTTGCAATGTATTTTGGTAAAAAAAATAAAATAAATACACCTAAATTACTCATAACAGTACAATAAAAGACAACACCACAGAGTAACACTACATAAAAGATGGTGCGCATCAGCTTCAGCTTATTGCACCCACATTTGTACAATACACAACCTATTCGATGTCAAAAAGTAACAGGAAAAGGAGAGCTGCTGTGGTTTTTTGGCAGATGTAAGAAATTTTAAGACATTGTGTTTCAGTGCTTAATCTGTGATAGGAAACTAGATACAAACCTAGAAATATTACACACAACTGATACAATGTCAAAGTGCTGAGATGCAATTCTGTCATTAGCCACCTATGTACAGTATTTATATGAGTATTTGTCTTTATTTGAGGTATTTTTTACATCTAAATAATTGAAAACAGAATTAAAAGATTTGTCAGTAATGAACACAGCCATGTTTAAATGTTTAACTGACAGCTTGATGAGGACATCCATCCATGTGTTGTTTGTGGCAGGCTGTAAGTGATATCCCGTGTGTTTCAGTGGGAGACGGGCGAATGGGTCACGAGGAGGAGGCGCCTTATGATGCCATCCATGTTGGCGCGGCAGCACCCACTGTCCCCCAAGCTGTGAGTCTCTCTGAATACTGATGACCAAGGTCACATTGTTCCAATTCACTTCAAAACGAGGAATTTAAATTACTGACTTCGCACAACACGGCAGTTATACTAGCTTGAAATAGCAACGCCGGAATGTTCTCCTCAGCCATCCTCCTCCTTTGTGTCTCCATGCTCTTGACCTGCTACATTCACCTCGTTTCTCTCCCAGCTCCTGGACCAGTTGAAGCCCGGCGGCCGGCTGATTCTCCCCGTCGGCCCGGCGGGAGGAAACCAGATGTTGGAGCAGTACGACAAGATGGAGGACGGCAGCACCAAAATGAAGCCCTTGATGGGGGTGATTTATGTGCCTTTAACAGACAGAGACAAGCAGTGGTCCAGGTGGAAGTGACTTCCTTCTCCCCCCTTCTTCCCCTCTCTCCTTCTCACAGTGGCAAAGGTGAAATGGTGTGGCTTGGAGCAGGATATGGATCACAAAGGGGCTGCGTTTTGCTGCTTGTTGACATTTTTTGCTTCTTCCATACCATACCAACTGGCTGCATGTTTCTTTCCTCTTTTTTAACACCATGGTCCTAAATTGGTGCCTAGCTAATGAAATTAGTCTTTCTGTGACCAAAACACGAAACAATAAACTGAAATAGCAGCAGTGTGAAGGCAAATGCTTGGTTTTCAGAGCATGGCTACTTAATTTGAATGATCATAAAACATTAAGCCCTAATTGCCTGACTATTCTCTTTGATCTTCTACTCTGTGAGATGTAGAAAAAACTGGATTTTATTGTGGTGACAGATCTTAATATTTTGCATGTGATTCTAACTCCTTGTGTTTGCATGACAGGGGGACGGTTTCTTGAATGCTGCTCCTCTTCTCTTCTTCTCTGACATTCGATTTGTGTTTCTCACAGGGATGAACTTTGAAGAGGAAGACCGTCCATAATCCACCTTTAAGTTTGAACCTGGAGAAAACTCGGATGGGGTCAAACAGCTCTTGACATTTTTGTTCAAAGCATAACAAAACATGCTCTTTTTTGTTTTAAGTTTAACGATGGACTAGAGTATCACACTGATGACAGCCCAGAAAAGGCTGGGAAGAAAGACTGCTTGAAGCTCAGCACAGAAATATCTGGAGAGGGTGTTTTGTTTTTCTTTTCAGGCCTGCATCTTTTTGGTTATGTTTTCTTTTTAACTGCTGGATTTTAGGTTTGATTTTTTTTCGTGGTTTCATCATTTGAATTACAGTCAGCCATTTTTACATTATTACATTTCAGCAGCATCAACGCTGAATGTAGGAAGAACGCCGGACAGCGACGAGGAAAGCCTATTAGATTATTCACCTAGCTACAGTGTGTGTGTGTGGGTCATCTTAACTGTAGACTTCACTGCTAACATATGAGCTTTCTTCCCTTGCCCGCAGTATTAGGAACACACACACACACACAGGCAACACAATGGCTGATATAACCCACACATCCTGTTTGGTGTGCAGCACTCTTTAGGTCATTCTACACATAGAATAAGCAGCGCATTGGATCATACTGAACATAACTCCGAAGAGAGCGGAGCACGAATAACACTGACACACGTGCACATGCAGGGCTGTGCTTTCCACTTGGTGATGTGTTGCTTTCTGCCGCTGGTTTTTCCATTAACAATTTGTGCAGGCTCTTCTGGTGACTGATGCTAAATGAGATAGTCACTGCTTTGCCAAAATAAACTCCAACAATTTAAAGCAAATGAATGTCTGTTTTCTTGAGAAACAAAAAAACACATCAAATTAAAAAAAAAAGCATATTTTATTTTGGGTGATCTAAGTGATGGATGATGATCTGGCTTTCACAGTTTACGGAATGGCATATGAAAATAAAGAGATGCTTATGTTTTTGTCTGCGTTTTCTTATTGAATCGTATGTGTGCAGGCTGCAACCTGAAGTCGAACTGAGGTCCAGATACCATCAGCACAACCACACACTCCTTAGAAATGTATAACTAACCACCAAAAATAGTTTGTAAAATCTTGATTATTTTTATTTGCATTTTGCAAACTCTGCTTCTCAATATGATGCCGGGAGCCCCACGCTCACAGAAGAGACAGCTAACGAATGACCTCACTGTCCTTGATGGTAGTTTAATAATGCGTTTAAAATGTAGGTAAAGTTGAAATAATGCATTTTTATGAATCGTTGACACCAGTATTTTTTGATATATAATAAACTTTAATATCTCACATGAAGACAGCACTTAGAAAGAATACATCTGCGTAAATACAGTTTCATACTCCACAAATGTTTGCGTGAGAAAGAAAGATATGCAACAGACTCAGGCAGGAGTGGGTTCAACTTACTATGGCTTTATTATTCTGGGATACTTAAAGACTAACTTTAACAACAGGCACTCCAAAGTATTTAAGTTCTGCCCTCAGTTTAGTTCGGGTAAAATCTACAGCATGGTAGATCAGCGCCATCCAGTGGCAGAAATATGACATTTTTATGCAGCACTAGTCAGGAAAATGAATAAATAAAATAAATATCAAAGCAACCAATTTCAGGGATGAAAATTATTTTAATAAAAGGGACTTAAGGTGTATCCCAGAAATCAATGGGGGAATACAGACCAGTATATCAGCATCTAAGTAAGAGTGTTGATAATTCCTCAGGGATTCACAATCAGATTTTGTTAAGACAACATAAGCATGAATTCACGAGCATCTATGTCATTGGTTTTGATGACAGCGTCTATCAGCAGCAGTTTTATCAATCAGAGGGGTTCAGTGTGAGAAACTTTCATGATAGATGAGAGTTGTGATGTTTCCAGCTTGAAGTGAGGACAAATTAGAGACAAGAAATGCAGAGTGCAAGTTTAAGAAGTCCTGGCTCAGGCTCTGATGATGACACCCTCGACGAGTCTCTTTGTCAGATATCTGCGCTCTTCTATTTGCGGCCCCTGATTGATTGGCTACAGGTACATGCCGTTGATGAGGTAATCAGACTCCTCCGTGGTGAGGGCTCGGGCTTTCTTCAGCTTGTGACGAACGAGTCTGAGACGACAGCCGATCATGAGCAGAAGCAGGGCGGTGATGATTAGTCCGAGAGCCAGAGGAAGGATTGCACCTGGAGGAGGAGGAAGCAGAGGCCGAAAACACAGAACATTACTCATAAACCATGAAAGGAACCAGAGCTGGACAGAGACACAGACGCTGGGTCTCACCTGACTCTGGGATTGGATGTCCTCCCATCACTGGAAATGGTTTTGAGACCGGGACGTCGCTCTCTGCTTGTTTCTGGGAGACTTTAGGGGCAGCTATAACAACAGGTACAAATGCAGTTTAGTTTATGAAGCAGTCAGCTGTTACCACTAAGTTAATGATATGATACTGACGCTTTTTCTCCCCGTTTAAGAAAAATTACCTATTTCAGTCTGTCTGGTGATGGGAGGGGCCACAGTTGCTGGTTTGAAAGCCGGACCTGAAAGATGTTTCCATTATTCGTAAAATGTAGTAGTTTATGTTGCAGTTACAAAATTAGCGTAAAACAAAAGGGCAAAAAGCTAATTCTCACTTTTTTGTATGCATTCACTGACACAGTCTGATTCCTGGAGGAAATTGTTATGGTTGCCCTGGCAACCACCATACAGAAAGTGTTTGCATTCTCCTGCGTTTTGGTCATAGTACCAGCGTGGGAAGGTGCCTTTACAGGGTCCTACGACTGGAGCTGCAGCACACGGATCTACAGGTAGAGAGAGAACGGTTTACCTTTACCTTGTTTCACATTTGACATCAGGGAATCATGCAAACTTACCCCCTCGTGTACAAGCACATAGGGACTACTGGTGTAGCATAGCTCTGAAACAATTAGTGGATTATCTGATTAGTTGATTGCAAAAATGTTATTCTACAACAATTTGGATGAATTATTTGTCATTTAAGTAATTTATCCAACAAAAATGCCAAACATTCAGTGATCTCAGGTTCTCAAATGTGAGGACTTTCTCTGTTTGAAAATTAAAATGCTTGGTTGCTGGGCTGCTGGTTGGAAAAACAAGCAATATGAGGGCGTCATCTTAGGCTCTGGGGGATTGTGACAAGCATTATCAACTATTTTCTGACGACTGACTGACTAATGAGGAATTAATCAGCGATAAAAATAATCCTTACTTTCAGTGATAGAAGATTAACTACATTACCCACAATCAGCAGAGTTCACCAAGACAACAATGTACAAAATATATCTGGTGCTATTCCCTTTGACCTCTCCTCTCTGCTATACAATGGGGACTAAATTTGCCAAGCATGTGAACACGGGCCTGAGCATTTGTGAAATGAAGAAAAGACTCCTGAGAATACACCTCACCCTAGTAATACATATGGCAAACAGCAATGGTGGAAGTGTCTGCCTGATTCAGGGATCAGATGGCGGAGGGGACAGAGGTGCTTTGTTCCTGCACTCAGAGAATATGCAGCACGGAGCTGCTTTCCCAGGGAATGCAGAGTGGCCCTGTGGCTTTGCCAGCATTTTCAGCTCTGTGCTATGACTCAATGGCTGCCTACAGGGGCTCCATCTGCTTCTCTGTCCAGACACGCACTAAAACCATCTCTGCCACTTTACAAAGGGCTACTGCACTAAAGACACAGTGATGGAGGATCACACTGCTAGTGCACATTTGAACAGGTGCTGCTAAAGTAAAAAATTCTGGTAGATTCTCATCCAACCATGTATCCCCACCCTACTATGTTTCGTGTTATCACACACAGCAACATTTTCAGGTCTCTTGTTGCAGTTATTCGAGATAAAATGTGTTTAAAGACATAAACACTTACCTTGACTGACAGAAGCCTTCTGTTGACTGGGGCTTTGTTGAGTAACAGTGCTGTCCTGAAGTGGTACGATGCTCTCTATGGTCTTCCTGGGTCCATTCTGGAGCATGGAGCCATCCTCAGCCTCCTCTGTCTGAGCTCCAGATCGATGAGGGCTGGGTAGGTCGACAGGGTGGGTGACTGACTTCCTGCTGCTGTCGACTACAGTAATCACAGGAAAACAGATGGATGGTGGGTAGATCTGAATGCTTTTGTGTATTTTTTCTTCTTTCTTGCCCATTAAGCGTGTTTCCTTTAACTGATTCTGATAATACCAGAGATTATAAAAGACTGTGCTTACACCATCAAAAAAAAACAAAAACAAACAAGCCAAGCATTTCTGAACAGGAAATGTTTCTCACAGTTTGGGCAGAAGTCTTCATCAGAGCGGTCTGGACAGTGTTGCTTCCCGTCACAAGCATAGGTGATGTCAATACAGCAACCGTCATCACACTTGAACTGGTAGTTTGAACAGTGACCTGTGCACACTGCGGACACAGAAAAGTATAACTACACATCTGGCCACCACAAAAGCTCAGCCTCAGCAACACCTTCATTTGGGTTTAAATATGAACCTTGAATCTAAGGGAGAATCAGTACATCACAAAAGAGCTAAAAACAAAACACACACACACATCAAAGATACATGCTTTGGTGAGTACATCACCTTCTGCTTGGTGTTTTGGTGCCAGCACAGTGACGGAGACGTTGTCGGAGCTCTTCTGGCCCGATGTGTCGGTGACTGTCATCTGGAAAGTGTACACACCCTCCTGGAGACCACTTATCTTCAAAAGCCCTGGATGGGTCGCCTTCAACACACATACAAAAAGAGTCTAAGGATGGACAACAGTTCTGCTATCAGATTTGAATAAACTGTATGAGCGAAGACCCTCGTTTCTGAAAACCTCTATTGTTTCTATCTCTTAAATGTAAGAGCAGAGTTTAGCAGTAGGCTACAAAATCTGATCCCAGCATCATTTCTTTTTAAAACTTTATTGACTTGTGAAAAATAAATGTTTTTATAAGCCCCTACTATTATTCTGTCATGCAAATGCAGTAGTTTGAAGGGTTTTTTTTCCCACCGAGATTTATCCTCAAGACATCTGTACCCACACGAGTTCAGTGGAGCTAAGAGGAATTTTCTTTGTGGTTCTCAATGCATTAAAAAAGCCTCGCTGTCAAGTGTTTTCACTGGGAACTATTTTCTGTTGAAGGTAGGAAATGGTGAAAACTGACCATACATGAAAGTGTTGGAAGTTTCCCATGTTGCCTCTAAGGCTGTGAACAGAGGGCAGGCTCCAAGGCAGGTTTGTGCATAAAAACTCTTATCTCTGTTGATACAGTAGGGTATTATGGAGCTCCGGAGACAAGCCACTCTGTTGACTTAAATGCGACAACTAATGCAAACACACACATGTAATTTGACTCTGATGCCTGTGACCATTTATACTGCAAATGCAAATGTTAGAATCATCTGATTCCAAAATGAGAGAATACCAAAGCCTCTTTTCCTCTGGAGTTTTAGCAACGTTCACACAAGAAATTCAATTAAGTGGAGTGAGCTAGAGCAATCCACTGTCAGTGAGTTACAGGCTTTCTTTCTCACAGGGAGCACCCAAATTAAACTGTGTATGGTCAATATGCTGCAAAGTGGCTTGGCTATTCGTATTAACTGAATATAATACTATGTGACGTAAACACTGACCTTCATATTGATGGTTGTGTCCCCTTTAACAAGAGTCCATTCATAGTGGTTGATCCCATGGTCATCCACGCTGTCCCGGCCATCCAGGACGGCCCAGTCTGTGGGCAACTGGATCACCACATCCTGCCCAGCGTCACTGCGAGGAGGCTCATCCACCTCTGCAAACAGGAAACTCTCAGTTATATGTGGTATACAGTGGGTTAAGACATTCAGAAAGGTTATTAAAAATAGAGATATCTTTACATTTGATTAAAAGATTGTACTTATTTAGTGCTGTGATTGCTGATTATTTTATTTTGATTAATTGTTTAGTCTATAAATTGCTAG